ATTTTGAGTGGGATGTGTTGTTTTGTTGTGTCTTATTGTTTTTGTTGTGTCTTATGTTTGTATTTTTATTGTTTTGTTCTGTCTCATTGTGTTGATGTATCTCATTGTTCTGTTGTGTCTTATTGTAGGTCACTGCCACCGGGTATAAACCCATTTGCAGTCAATAATAAATAATAATAATAATAATAATAAATTAAATATTTATTGCTTACAGAAAATTAGTCAGTTGTATACAGGTAGCCCTCGATTTGCGCTGGTTCAATTTACGCCGATTCAGAATAACGCCGATTTTGAAACCAGCAAGTCAAAAAGTGAAAAGAAAAAAAATTTACTATTATTTATAACGTTTTACAATGTTTCTCGTACTGATTCTTATACTAAATCGTAATTCTTACATCACTGATTTTGAATAAAAATTATAAATACAGTCATCTCTGCGATTACGTATGTTTCGTTAACGCGAATTTGCTCCAATGAGATCGATGAATCGGTAAAAGCTGTTTGTGAAATTCAAACTTTTGCATATCCGAGTTTACTCTTATGCAATTTCATTCCTGGCGCTTTAAACTTTCAAAGGACTAATTTGATCTCTGCGGAGGTACCGGGGTTATTTTTACTACGGGATTTTCTTACATGAATGCAACTATCGCATAACAGCAGAGATGACTGTACACATCAATCACATGAAAGACTCGCAGTCAATCGCGGGAACCAACGAATTGCCGATTGTAAGTTTATAAAATATATTTTTTAAATTTAAAAAAATAAATAAAAAAATAAATTCACCATCAGCCCTGCTCTGAATCCAAAGTGTGATGCTGTATATTTTGTTTCATGTAACAGCATGTTGCAGTACATAAGCATATTTGTTACAGGTATCCCATATGCACTCCATCAAGCGGGTTTTGGCATTGGCTTGTTTCTTCTTGTTCTTGTTGCGCTGGCTACAGACTATTCCTTGATTCTCATGATAAGAAGTGGACATCTTAGTGGTGCTTTCTCATACCAGGGTTTGATGGAGGCAGCATTTGGAAAGCCTGGTTTCATACTCCTCTCTCTTCTTCAGTTCATTTACCCATTCATTGGTAATTTAAAAAGCATTCGTCACCGACTATGTGATTATTTTTTGATATGATTATCTAAATGTTTGTGACAATGACTGACTCTTTATATCAATACTATGTTAAACTCTGTCCATTGTCCCAAGTATATTTGACCATAACGTTGTGGGAGCTGGCTCTACTCCCATTTTCAAGTAATTTATTCTTTGTCATTATACTGACAGATTTAATAATTTTTGTAACTGGGATGAACCAAGAACATTTGAATACTAGGCTACTACCTAGTACATGGGCAGTGACAATGACCTATGTAATGTATTATGTTTGCAGCCATGGTAAGCTACAATGTTGCAGTCGGTGACACTCTTACAAAGGTTCTGATGCGTGTAGCTGGAGTTGGTGTAGAATCTTTACTCTCTCACCGAGAAGTGGTAGTAGCTTTGGCCACAATACTAATCACTGCTCCGCTCTGCCTGTACAAGGATATAGCCAAGCTGGCAAAAATCTCATTCCTATCCTTGGTTTTTGTAGCATTCATCCTCATAACAATATTCATACGTCTGGGAACACTCCACGATATCATGTAAGTCATCTTCATAAGCATCGATATTATAATACAAATACATGATTATCTCATAACAACAAAGGCTGAATCTGAATGCATTTGCTTAAAAAAATTCATTTTCACTTGTATTAAAATGCATCCAGATTACATGCCAACATCACTAGCCCACTGGTATACCTTAGATTTTGTCTACTTAAAATACTTAACCAACTCTGTCCCAGTAGACCCAGAAGGTTCATCACTACTAATACTAAAGCCTGCCAGTGAATATGATCCTGAATCAGTACCATCCACGTATCAGCCTCAATACTTGTTTTTTAAAGACTCATCTCTATGTTATACTTCCATGTCCTTGATATTCTTTCCAAGAAGTTTCCCCCTCAAAATTCTGCAATATCCTGTATAAATCAAAGCTCCTATACAGCCCATTTACATCTTCCATCTTAGATCCATATAGTTTTCTGAAAACCTTGTTTTTAAACATTTAAAATTAATGTTCTTCCTTCAAAGCAAGATGCCACATTTTACAGTTAAAATATTTTTCACACAGCCATTAAAATATACCAATAATAGTATGTTAAAACCTTGTACAAACACACTGACTCTTTCTCTATTCAAGCAATATTAAAAAAAAAATTAATTGAATATCAACTTGGCCTTGCTGGTAATTTCTTAACTCCATAAGCTGACAGATTACAGTAGAGTTGTAACAAGAGTATCAAACTTAGACTATAACTCAGGGGGGGAGGGGAGTGTTTGCTTTTAACCTTTAGAGTCCTTGCTAACAACATGCTGGACTTTTAAACTGTAGGTGTACACATAAAATTGTATACTTCTATGCTAAAATAAATTTAAATATAGCTCCTATAATATAGACCTGCACAAATTTTCTATAAATTTAGAAACCACCTCCACATACTAAAGGAAGAAAAATAAATACACACACACACACAATGTGCAGAAATTTCTAGGCATTATGGTGAGTTAGCACCCAAGATTGTGCAGGTCTGCTCTAATATATGCTGGACTCAAAAATCTTTCAGAGAAAAACTGTAGAACTCAATACACAAAATACTTTTATGCACTTCTTTGGTATGATATGCAGATTTTAAAAATGCTGTCACTTTCTAAAAGTGACTTAAAGGAAAGATTTGTGTTCCACTAATGGCAGTGATATGAGATACTGCCTGAATGTTACACAGTGAGTGCATTAAGTGAGCAGTTCAAAACATATATATGTATTAGAGCTACAGATTTGTATTAACATATATACTTTTTAATGAATGTATTTTATATCCTTTCCACATTCAAACATACCTGACAATATGTTCTTGTTTAGTAGATGCAAGTGGAAAGAGATGACAGGGGAAGGAACTCATTTATGCCATTTTATATGACATAAATAAATATGTTGGGATAACATTTCCTAATCTGGCCACACCTCAGTAAGCTGTAATATGCAGATTACTATAAATCCCTTGCAATCCATTGACAAATGATCTCTCATATGTAAAACACTTATGCAGGGTATGAATGCAAGATATGAAATAGATACTAACAAAACATTTTAAATTATTTTCCAGACCTAGCACACATGACTCTTGGAGATTTGCAAACTGGGGTATTATCCCATCTATTGGAATCATGGCCTTTGGTAAGACCACACAGTAAAGCAGCATCATGATTTAATGATCCCTGGCCCTGTCTGTGTATGTCATAGCAATTCCCAGGTCAGGCAGAAGACTGTAGCACTGTTCCCAGGTCTTCATTTGAACTCCAAACATCAAAATGTGCAGTCACAAGCTTACAGCTATCTGGATCTGGAATGCTCTGATGACCAACACAGAAAGGAAGTCACATGGAAACAGTACTTGCAAATAAAAAGTACAACTGGTAATGTGCCTGTTCAGTGTATGACTGTCAGCAATGCTGTATGGAGGTGGACAGCACTAGGTGCTGAATTCAAGGACTATGAAATTACAATTCTGCTGTAGTATATAATGGAGTTTTTATCTTGACCACAATGGTCAGTTTGTCCCTCCTGTAACTGATGGCAATGAGAGATGTCACCTTCCAATCTTGACTACTGAGAAGGAAAATGCCTGATTGTACTCATCATTTAGCAGACAAGAATACTGCATGTCCAGCATACCATGTTTTCCAGTAATGCTTCTTCATAACACTAATTTATGATTTACATGCCCATGACTGCTATACATATTATCAGAGTTTTATGAACCAGCTTCATACAGCAAGAGCAAATGTAAACCACCACACATTCTTAAAATTGGTACTGGATGGAAGTGAGTAGTAGGTGGCGTGTAAGCTGAAGCCCCGGCTAGTAGGAGGGTGCGGCGGTGTGCGTGGAAGGGTCAGGGAGCGAGCCTGCCTGGAGCCGCCGCCGGTGCAGATCTTGGTAAAAGCCCCCAGCATCCACTGGATAGAAGGCAGGATGGGCACTAGAATTGACATGGAGGTAGTGCCAAAGAATAAATCCTGCCCTTGCCAAGAATGAAACCTCGGACATCTAACATGCAGACTGCGCTTACCAAAACTGTCAGCTTAAGGACGAACAACCAAATTGCATATTAAAACACAGAACTCATGCCATTTCATAATAAACACAGGATCAACCTGTAGTAACAATGCAGAACATCTACTATACAATCAATGTTTTCATTATATGTAGATTTCTTTCTTTCTTTATAGTTTATTTAATGATACTTTTTCAGTAGCTGACTATATAGTGTAGAATGAGAGGATAATAGTGAATTGGAAAGGATGTGGAAGGAATAAGTCATGGCCTAATTTAAGGAACTATCCTGGCATTTGCCTGGAAGGACTGAGGTAAACCACGAAACACCCAGTCAGGATAGCTGGTCTCCAGGCCGAGATTTGAACCTGGGACCTCCTGAATATGAAGCAGGAGTTTTAACCACTTGACCACGACGTTCGGTCATTATATGTAAAGTAGCCTATTATACACACATCAGAGGTGATTGTGAAGACACCTTATGCACCTGCCACAGAATTTTCCTATTGATGGGCATTTCCTTTAATGATAAGAAATTAGTTTTGCATTAGTTTATGCTGTAGGACCCTGTAGCCAGAATTACAAAGAAAAGGACACAAGGTCATCTGGGCTGGCTTGCTGACTTCTGTTCCACAAAACCAAACTGCCTGCTCAGACATGTTTTGACACATCTAGCATTGCATGGTTTCCATCATAGGACATGTAGAGCCAGACAATTTCCTATTCCAAGAAAGAGATGTCATTGTAGTAGTAATTGCAGATATGCTTGTGAAAGAAACCACTTTTCCATACACGAGAAAAAAAAACCTTGTGAAGAAACCACTCACATCCATCTATTACTAAAGTTAATAATGTGTGGAACTTTATTTTCATGCTAACTACACACCATCATGGTGTAGTGCTTAGACACAGGAATAATATAAATTTTGTATATCTTTTTGTTTCAGCATTTATGTGTCATCACAACACATTTCTATTATATGGTTCAATTCAAGATGCAGATCAACATCGGTGGGACACTGTGACTCATGCCTCTATCCTCACATCCCTTGTAGTGTCAGCCCTCTTTGGAATAGCAGGATATGCAACATTTACTGGAAATTCACAAGGTTCTTTCTCATTCCTATACACAGTATTGCTTATAAACTCACTAATACAAATTCTACCCTTAGAAGTAATATTTCCTTGTTAAGAAAGTTTCTTTATTCTCCTCCTGTCAGGAGAGCTTCAATGTAGGATGACTTCATTTGCAATATTTAAGTATTAGTACTTTATTCACCATAATACTGATGACATTAGAGCTATGGAAAACTGAGTGGGGTTCTTTAGCAATTCTAACAATGAAATTCTTTTATTGTAAATCCTGGATATGATTTTCATTTAGCATAAGTTTTCATAATTACCTGTATAGCCTCAATTAGAGTACCGCTTGTTTTATTTTGGGGTTTCAACAGTTCTAATACAAATACCACTACTGACGTAACAATGTATGTAAGAAAGAAGTAAAGATAAAGATAAAGATAACTATTAAAAGCACAAAAAAGTAAAGTTGTCCCACTATGCACCATGTACGCACTTGGAGGGGGGGAAGAGAGAAAGTACAGCTCCTACTCATTCTTAACCTTGGCACAGGATGGGGCAAGTGGTCAGCATCACACCCTGGCCACACTTTACTCTGGGAAAGAACCCTGATACTCATAGAACAGGAGGCTGGGTGGCCCCCAGAGCCAGTATAGATACAAAGGCTAGAGGAAAAACATTATGATTATTATTGTTGTTGTTGTTGTTGACTAAACAATGAAGTATTTTCTTAATCGATATACAAGAAAATCACATGTAAGCTCATTATGTTTGTTATTTGTTACATTCGTACTGAATGAACCGAACTGTTGCATTCTTACGGAATCTGGAAATGTGCATCAATAAACTCATTCCTAGGCCAGTTCAGTTTGCTTCACCTCATGATTTACTTCAATAAGATACATTTAATATTATCCTTAAATCTAGATCATCTAAGGGGCCTTTACACAAGATTTTCTAACCAAAATTCTGTATGTCTTTCTTGTTTCCTAATGTATACATATAACATACTTCATCCATCTTAACCTCTTTTATTTTATCACTCTAAAATTACTTGGTACAGTGGTTTTTTAAAAGAGGATTGCCAGTATTTAGGTGAAAATTAACTTATACTCGATAGAATAAGAAGGTTCTATTCAAACACAGTTAAGAGAGGAAGAAGAATCAATCAGAACTGCTGGGAAAATAAACTTTAAAATCACATTATGCAAAAGAATAAACAAAAACATTCCATCCCCTCTTCCTCCACTGAGATATATTATTGTAGTGAAAATTCAGCTTCTCTTTTTAGTTTTAAAATCTAATCAGTATAACAGCGTACAAAAGTTTTGGCACTGATGTACATAGTAGCGTTTTTAAAATGTTACAATTTATTGGAGTATCTTACTATACTGTGTATTCTACAGGTGATCTTCTCGAGAATTACTGTTGGAATGATGATCTTATGAATGTATCACGTATCAGCTTCAGTATTACAATTTTACTCACATTTCCCATTGAGTGCTTTGTGATTCGTGAAGTCATAGAGAACAGTTTCTTTTCAAATCTGACATCACCCGAGGACAAATGGAGAACACTTCGTCATGTGGGAATAACCATTATGATTGTCATAACTACATACCTCATATCCATGGCTACTGATTGCCTTGGTGTTGTATTGGAACTCAATGTAAGTGAACAGAAAACTATAAATAGTGGAATATTTCTTATATTAATATATTCACATAATGATTCTATTACCCTAAAACCAGTAAAGCCCACTGGTTACTTTGGGTATAATGAAACTATACTTCCTCATAATTATATGGCGAAAGTGAGTAAAAATGTTTATTGTTTGTGGAATCTCATACAAATTACCTAATGGCAACATGGAGATGGAAGGATAATTTTAAAATACATCTTGGGGAAACAGACTGTCAAGAAACACACTGAATTGCACTCGATAAAGACAGGATCCAACGGTGGACTTAGTATTAGTACCGAGATAATAGTGGATTGTAACCAGAGAATTAATTATTTTGCTATATGACCAGTGATGATTTGTAACTCTTGTATTCTGTTCACATGAATTGTGATGTGGTGCGCAGAATAAACTGATAACCTCATAAAAACTGAACAAAACAGAATATTTTCAGTAGTACATAAAGCAGTTTCCTGCTTTTATGGAAGTGGATCACACAGATGATGTTCAAGTAAAGTAACATATAGCACAGCTTATTTTTTACATTGTTGTTATGTAATGGAATGCTCCAGAAAGAATGAGATGAAAGTACAAAAGGGATAAATGAAAGGAACAGATGAGGTGATGTATTACAACAGGATTAACAAATAAAGGGAATATGGGAGGAAGGAGATAAATGTATGAAAGATATAAAGAAAAGAATGAAACAGGTTGAAGGATAAAGATATGAAATTATTCCCTGTTGAGTTTAAATGGCTCTTTTTACACTAGCATAGTTGTCAATCCCTTTCCATGTGTTTCAGGGTATTTTGGCAGCAGTTCCACTGGCTTACGTATTGCCAGCTGTTAGCTACTTGAAGTTACAAGAAGGATCTGTATTCTCCCACAAGAAATTCCCTGCTTTGTGTCTTGCTCTGTTTGGAATAATTATTGCAATCTCGGGCATGGTACTGCTCATTACCAACAGCAACAATGTGGATACATGCAGTCATGGGAATGAGCCACCATACTGCTTTACCAATGTAACAACTGGCTAAGAACTTTTGAGTGTCTTATAAAAACTAGTCCATTATCTGATATGTGCTAATTTAACAATCAAATTCAAGAAAATCTCATTAGATTCTACTTGCTGTGAATGCTAATTCTTCACATGAGTTTCTTCCCCTGCAGCTCCATACTTCATATAGTATATAATTACAATATACTACTCATGATAAATTTTTGAAAATTATGCCAAAAATAACATTTCTCCAGACACACTATTTTAAAAGATTAAATATTATTTTCTTATTCAAAATATACAATAAATATCAGAACAGGTGATGCCTGATTTATGTCATTTTTCACTTAAATGTTACTAATCAATTCAAACCAAACTAATAGTTCAGGTTCTCATGGCAATGAATATGAAGATGGTTGTCTTCTGGAATACAGCACCATGTAGTCTAGTAGATACTAACCCATGTTCCCGAATCAATGGTCAATATCTACCAGAAAAGAGGGTACAATATCCAAGAAGACAGCCATCTTAATCTAACATAACACAAACTAAACTCAAAAAATAACCTTTCACCTGAATATAGTTTATGAATATAAAATGGTCCCAATTACCAAAACTTTAACTCATTACAAACAAACCCCACCCCCACACACACACTTGCTTTAACAATGAGATGGATTTCTTTACTAGTTCCTACATCTTTCTCAAATAACATACATACTTTAACTACCTACATCTGTGCAACAGCAAAAGTACTCATACGAAGACAGTGAATGATTTGTACTGCTGGTGATTTAAACACTTTACTTTGTCAACTGTGGTCTTCTTGTCTGTAATGCCATTTAGACTTATATGTAATTACCAATGTTCCCCTGAAACAATGGTAACCACCTATAATAATCTACATGGTCACAACCCAGAAAACCACACTCAAAATATTTAGTTCCATGGGAACCTCATATCTCATATACTTTGCTTTGCTCACAATTGCAAGAGACATTATTTTCAGATGCTAAATTATGAAGAAACAATTTTATGTCCTGGTAAAAACAGTGATTTATATGGAAAAGAAAATACTGGGATTCAAATATTCTAAATGGACTGTTTTTAAGCACACCTCAAACATCTATAACAAACACAAAGGGCATAAAGATATTTATTTTGAAGTTTTCTAGAATATCTGTTCTTCCTAAATCATAATAACAGCATCAGTGTTCTTGACAATGCAATAAGCACAATTATCATGCATACAATGTTATTTATTGGTGCTATTCAAAGAGTGTGACTGATAGGAGAGAACTGTACTGTAAACCTGAAAATGAAATTAATTTATTGTGAGGGAATTTTGATATGTAAATGACATAATGACCAAACTCATCAGTACACTTGGATGTACTGCACAATCTGCATGTTCATCTTCAACTACCGATACCTCCAAAATCATTTCACACTTGTCTGTTTTCATATTTGGCTTACAATATTTCACAATGATTTTCTTTAAATTGTAATCAATTGTGGTGTTGGACCAATCCTTGTTGGTGCATCCATTATATGATACCATATATACAACTATTTATTGTCCTTAAGAAAGTTCAAGTATTGATGTCTCCTGAATTTATTGCAGTATATTTTTTGGCTACTGTACAAATAAGATATGAGTGTTAATAACTGAACTGCATTACAAAACTTTGCCACATTTATGAATATGCTATACTGAGTCAAATAGTTCTCAGCTTCTTGTTTTGGAATGTCATAGGTTCATAATCAAGCGCTATATTTAACAGGAAGATCAGAGGGTGAACTATATACATTATAATACTGCAAACAAATGTTTCTGTCATGAATTATATTTGTCAAATACAAATACACCACATGATATCTAGTAACTGCAACATATCATAACCTAAAAAGAACCATAATATAATGTGCTTAATGTAATATGAAGATAAATTAAGTTGCTCTGCCTACAAGGAATGTTGATGCATCGACTGCAATAATTGTGATGTCCTTTTTTATGTAATATTATTTTGATTGTAATTAACTTACATGTTTATTTAAAACTTAAAATGTGATGTAATATATGATTATAAATTTAATTTAATATTATTTTGTACATCTTTTTACAATGTGAGTTAATAAAAGACATTTATTTACTTCATTTATACCACATTATACTTTTAGATATTTCAGTAATATGCTCTGCTTCCTCACGTTGGAGGCATTTGGCTGTCGACATATTCACATGCATATAGAGATGGAAAATGACAAGCCTGCAATAAAATTCTTCTTCACTTCTCATATGTCTATGCCTCTACTACTAGCATCATTTTTAAGCCCTTTTCTGCTTGTGCAGTAGCATATTTCTTGTTGGGCAAGTACCTTAAATTTGGCCATAACTGCTTCCTTCCACATCCTTTTCAATTCATTATTCACTACCAACCTCTCATTCAATGCTATATAGTCAAGAATACTGAAAATGCGTCGTTAAATAAACTATAAATAAATAATCAAACCATATTTCTTCTTCCTGTAAATCTACAACACAGTGGACAATCTATTTTGTCAGAAAGTGTTATGACCTATTACTTGTAGCCGTACAAACTTAAAACAGATAATTGTTATAATATTTAAGGATAATTTTACGTTTCTGAAATTTCACTTTCGGTGTGAGAGGCCTCTTATTTCTGTTAAACTAAGTTTGTGTCGTGTGTAAAGCATAACCATGACTGACAAACGCACTACTCGCGGGCGGGTGTCATATCACCTTTTTTGGGAATGTTAGGATATCTCACAATTTTCAGCAATTGAAGATAAGACGTCCAATCACAAATAAACTTCATCACAGCACTTACTACTTTTACATAACATAATATGAAGGCTTGCGTGGTTCTGGGATAACACTAGAATTAAATTTGCCAATGTGATACAAGTCACATTTCGATGAATCCTATAACAAATATACAGAAGTTATACAAATAAACATGTTTACAACATAATCTACAATTTATTTCTTCCGAATACAAAATTCAAAGTTGAACTGAAACTTTAATTCAATCCGTATGCTCACCTACCGTTAAAATAATTATAAATGAACATTTAAAACAGCGCCCATCACACACGACCACACTCCAGCAAAGTAACAGTCTTTTGTGCATAACATATCATAGACCAGTAAGAAATGAAATACACTTCATATCCATAACAATAAATCACGTCACGTTTTCGTGATGACTTTTTTTTCGCCAATGCGATACCTCTGTAGTTATTCTGGTATCTCCATTGTAAGGTTGCAATGCTACAGACGAGTTAGTTTCTTTCATAACATATATTCTCTGTGATAGGCTGAGCAGAGATATAAACCTAGAGTATCTACTCGGTTTACGTACGCTGTGAACCATGTGTTTGTATTGAATTTAAGCAGGGAATTTTATGTACCAAAATGAAACGCTTATCTAGTGAAAGAACGAAGTTACTTTTTGAAAAACTCTCAAAATAGTTTGTACCAAAACTTTTCTATTCAAAATATTCATGGAATATTTCTTATGAAGTTGAAGTTAATTTGTTTGGTTTATTCTTTTCAGTATAGGAGCAAATGTTAAGTTGTTGATTGACCGACCAGATGGAACATACTGCTTCAGGGAGACGAAAAATAGAGTATACTACGTCTCTGAGAAAATATTACTACTTTCAACTAGTGTTCCACCAGAGAATTTAGTGAGTGTAGGCACATGTTTTGGAAAATTCACGAAGACGGGAAAGTTCAAGCTTCATATTACAGCACTTACTTTCTTAGCCCCTTATGCACAGGTAAGAATACTGTAGCTGCAGTGTCCACTAGTTATGAATCTCAAGCTGTAGAACTGCTGAATATGGTACGGATTGTCTAAAACAGGAACGTATCTTTACCAAGGAACATCTGTTGTGTGGGCTAAATTAATTACTCTGGGGTATGATGTTATGGAATACAGTTATTGTAATCCTTACATAAAACCAGTTATTCAAATTTCATTCAGACCTATGACCTAGCCTTTTGGTATGAATGCCCACCTCCTTACTACATTTGTTGAAATTAATGCATCAAATTGTTACATAACATGCTGGAAAATTATTTTTGAATGTTGCATTCCAGTTTTTGTGGTTTCTTGTAACTGCCAAACCTATTGTCACAGGATCCCAAATATTTTCTGACAAGTTATGCATTATCTGTAGCAGGGACATCCTCTTTTTTTCTTCTTCTAAGTAGAAGCAGCACTGCAGGAGCTTTTTATGGGTGCATTTCTTCCAGGTATAATGCAAAATGAAGATAGAAATACAAGTTCATTGTTATCTACTCATGCCCAAAACATTGTATTTGTTATATAAACTGTAAAGCTACATATACTTGATTTTATTTTCAGTATAAAATCTGGTTGAAGCCTTCTGCAGAACAACAATTTTTATATGGCCATCATGTCTTAAAATCTGGTTTGGGCCGAATAACAGAAAACACTCAAAAGTATCAAGGTGTTGTTGTTTTGTCTATGAATGATTTACCTCTGGTAAGTGAACAATTTAAAGTATTCTGCAATTGAAAGTTGTCCCATGCTCTTTAGCAGAAGTAATTAATTTCCTAGCCACTTGAGTTTTTTAATGCACCATTTATAATAGACTTCATCTTTTAAACAGGGCTTTGGAGTAGCAGCCAAAACAGCAGCAGAATGCAAGCATACAGATCCTATGTCAGTTGTGTGTTTCCACCAAGCAGACATAGGAGAATATATTCGGTCAGAGGATGCTCTGATATGATCATTTCTACCTTCAGACATGAGACTAATGGACTATTCAGATCCTGTTTATGAATAAATAGAACAGTTATTATATAGGTATATATTTTTATAAAAGTACTACCCAGTTTTATGCAACTTACAATCAGTTATCATATACTTCAGATTACAGTTAACTGGTCTGTAAAACAGCATAGCCCTGTAGGCATTTGTCAGTGTTTCAGAGGAATATGCTTTGTCAGTAAGTAGGGCTGGGAAGTGGCATAGTTAATGTACGAAGGGTGAAAAAATCAGGCCAAGGAAACCTGTCTGATCCTCTTAATTGATCCTTCCACTCTTCCTGCACTACTTTTCTACCTCCCAGCACATCTCACTACTACCATGAAGATGGAAGCATTATGTTTTTCTGAAACACTGGCAACAACCTACTAGACTACATGATGCTACAACCCAGAAGACCAATCTGAACTCTTGCTGCCCAGAAAATCTCAACCTCATATTTATTCAGCATTATATGGTGTACAGTTGATACAGCACTGTTAAATTACTTAACAAAATAAACAGGTCAGTGAACTTTTCACATTTCACACCCATGTAGGTAAAATTAAAATAATTGTGGTGATGGTGCTATGTAGAATTTCTGTATGTATGTATATGTGTGTGGAGTACCAGCATACTTGGAACAAGATTTGGACTGTTACTTAGCAAATATAAATTTTAACTGACTCTAAGTTTGAAGTCACAAGAGGCAAAGTTTATGTTTTTAAATGGTAAATATTTTCTGGTACAGTTATATGTGCAGACTTGAAAACTCTTACTACATATAATCACTGTCTACCTTTCCATGATTATTTTGTGTTAAATGGGGATACACGAACATGGCCACATAAAATCTCCCATTAATACCCAGACACAGATTTTTTACACAGACACAAATGAATGGCCCTATCTGTCCTGTGTATGAAATAAAAACAAATAATGTAACATACTAAAATCATAACCATTATGACCCATGTCAAATAAAAATATATTAAATATTATATGTTAATCTAAATGATCTACCTACGATTGATGATGAAAACTCGAGTGCATATACAGTACTACAGCATGTTTAACAGACTACATATATTCAAATTTTCCACATTCAGCGAATAATTGTTCATACTTATTTTTGTGTGCACAAGCAAATTTGAATTGGACAGGGATTTACTGTATTCATTTTAAGACTGTTAGAATTTAATACTGCAATTTTATGAAATGTCTTTGACTTATTGTTTAGCTTGTTAATAACTGATTAGCCCAAGCATAATTAGGGTAACTGAAAGGACTATCACACTGACTATAGAGAGGATAAAATATGGCTGAGTAAAGGAGTGTAACAGGTGGAAAACATAGTGGACAAGTGGACAGATGTCCAAATTAATAATAATGCTAATAATTACCCAACTGCTGGTTTTAACTTATCAGTGTAATTACCTTCTTTCCTTTGATCAATTTTAGTAGGGAAATTTTACATTTATTTGTGGATTTGTATTCCTTATATAAATTATATACACTTCTCAGTGATAATCCTCATGAATATATCTATTTTTTCACTAAATCTGATATCTGAATGTTTGGGTTATCACTCACCATGTCTGATATTTATATGTCTGGGCTTTCATTCACTATGTCTGACAAGTAGATGTCAAAGTTGTCATTCACCATGTCTGACATTTGGATGTTAGGGCTGTCATTCACTATGCCAGATGAAGATAGCTGTCATGTGGGTTGTACCATTGTGAGAACCTCAAATTCTATAATGTCAGAGTTGTCATTTGTGATGTGTGACATTTGTCACGCACCAAAATCTTATACACGTTGGAAATGATTACTTTTCACCCACATAAGAAAATGTTTCTACACAGAAGTTCAAAAACAGCGTCGAGGATTTTCAACCATGCTGTTGCATGCAACTTTTCAGAACTTACAACTGATTACCATTCTAATGGACTCTGGTATAACTCCCAACCGGTAGCCAGCAGGACAGGATTTTGTCACTACTTGTGACAGGTTTATGTTCACTCATCTTGAATAAAGTGTAAGATAAGCAAAGAAATTATTCCAAACAGTTTCCTATGTTCCAATCAATATGTGTATAAAATAACTGTCAACTTTTGTTAAATATTCCAGCATTTCTATAGTACTCACTACATAATGTAACTACGGATTTAGACTGTCTGCTGAGATAATCAATTGATCCCACAAGTTACGAATGTGTGTTACTGAATTGAAGAGGAACCCTATGTAAGAATTTAACACTCACTGAAATGCCACCTCAAGTCTGTATGTCAAGCAGTTATGTCTGAACAAAGTATCACAGGCCTGTCTGAGTGGGGGGGATTTCAATTCAGTGTACTCATATATATCTGAAGTTGGCTTTTTACTAACTTTCACCACGATTTTATGTAAAGTTAATCACATGGAGACAAGATCAAATATTTTGGTGGCCAATCCACAATGTTACAAAGTGTCATTTGTAATTTTATTTAAGCAGTTGCTCCCATCACTGGCAGTGAATTAGTTAACTGCCTTTACATACACTAATATTTGCATATATAAATGTTATTGGGTTAATTTTCAAAAAGGCACAATTTTGGTAAGTACATACAGTTTAATTTTTTATTTTGTGATATTAGCCTTCAACACTTTAATGGACCATTTACTTGTTGGGGAGGAGGGGTGATGGAGATTATTACTCCTGTCCCTTTCTTCATGTTTCAAAATGTTTCGTGCAAAAGAATGAATTGTTTATTCCTTGTGTTTTGTGAAGCAATAGTTTAGAAAAAATATTCATCCAAGTCATCCCCCTCCTAACTAGATATATTTCAAGCTCTACTTTTAACAGATACCAAATACAGATTAACTCAGGCACAGTGATGTCTTGGTTATATACCAGTATAATAAGTTTAATACCACACACACACACACACATATGCAATCATAATATGTTAGTAGCCATTTTCCATCACTTATAAATATTCCTGTATTTCTGAGACAGTTATGCAAACAACTTCATGGGAGCATGATATAATAATAATAAAGTGGGAACTAGACATAGTGCTTGAAGCAGCAAAGCATAGCAGCTTTGTTTCTTGAGGGCCTGAAACCTTTCAATTCCCTTTCAGTGGACCAAAAACTAACCCAGTATAATTAAATTCCCATTTAATGTTTCTCTGTGGGGCAATGGATTAGTATGTTCAACTGAGATAACCTTAAAATGGAGGGATTTTAACACAGAGATAACTAACTGGGGACCATACAAACTGAACACTAAATGAGGGGAAACATTATATGGAGGTTCCACTATATGAAAACTACACCAATTCTACCCTCCTTTTTATCACACTATAAAGGACAAGAAGTAATGAAACAAACTGCATCACTGTCAGATAAAATTTTACTCCCACTTCCCAAATAGTCTAATTCATCAATCCAATGCCCTTGCCATAATGGCAGTGACAATATTTCCTCATATAGGATCACCTGGAGAAATCAGTATTTGAAGATAGTCATCTTCTGGGATGTTGTACCATATAGTCTAATTACTACTAGACTCTAGTAGATATTGACTGATAATTCGGAGGAGCTTACTGCCTCCATTATCATGGCAATCAGGAAGTTCCTCTCAAATGTCAGTCAATGTTTACCAGATTAACCATAGTACAACATCCCAGAAGATTGTCAGCTGTATAAAAAAATCTCTGTTAAGGAATGTGAAGGCAGTCACCACAAAAGACCTACCTTTAGCCAATCTAATCCCATTCACTTCCTCCCTAACTTAAGATTCTTTTTAATCTTATCAATTCTCAAAAGACACTGATCTACTTCAGTTTGGCAATGGCAGTAGAATACCAAAGTGAATGCAAATTAAATAACCTTTCTGTGATTTTTTAACTTCAAAGACATAACAAATGATCCTACCACATTTTGTTCAGTTTATAAATTTCACAAACTGACCCAGTTTTATTCCACTTCACATAAGCACTGATTACGTTCAATCAGTGGGTTATGTGTAAATTATAACTGAGATAAAAAAGTGTAATTTCAATTTAACATGATCATAAGACTTCAAAATAAATTAACTGTGTACTTTTTGGAGAATATACTTTCATATTAATATATAAGATTTGTAAATATGAATTAATATAACCAAGTTTAGCACCTGTTAGGAACACATACCCCAGAACATTAATTACATAATTCACAATACTAATGATTTAACTACACATCCCAATGGTGGCTTTGAACAAGAATGGCCAATTCCAATTTGTGAATGTAAACCAATTCATTACAACATATTTTACATGATTGCAAATGCAAGACAGACAGAAAAAGAAGGGATTACAAATATGAAACTCTTATAATCTATAAACCAGTTAATTACAGGTTTTCCTACTGAACTACAAAAACTGACAACAAAACTCCTTAACTGTGAGTAAAAACAAGGCTTTCAGTTCAGTGTAAAAAGAGAAATCTGAATCTTAAAAGTATGTTATTATTTATAAGAATATGTTAATATAACACACACTTTTGGATTTGATCATGTCTTGTTCTAAGCTTCTAGTGTGCTAAGAGACAAAATACCCCTGAAATGCACATACCACTCTTCAACATTACAGCTGAATCAATGCCATCTCTTCTTTCATTGTAAGTTCCTAATCCATTCCAAATTCTTCATTCAATTTTTTTAAATCCCTGTGAAAGACAAAATAAATTAAAGTAATAATTTCTGACATACATAAAATCTAAAACTTATGTTTTATGGATATATGTGTATATTGACCTTAATCATCCATGCATCCCCCAGCTTACATGTGATCCACTGGCTGTGCATCACACTAGCATACTGCTAAAGGTGGCGACTGACTCGACTGTGCTCCATTCATTTCATTAATATGTCGGACATGGAGGTTGTGTTATCTTTGTTCCATTTAATATGCTACTGTTATTTAAAGAACTCGTGAATGCTCGTTACGACGCCGCTTGACTGACTGAATTGTAATGTAACACTCAAAGGGATTCGCGAAAAAACCGACAACACAATGGAGCGCCCGCGAGCGGCTCCGTTCGCTGTCTTCACTTGTGTAATGCTCGATTTGTAACATGTTACATTACAGGCAAATGTTACAAGTCAGTCGCCACCTTAACAGTTAACACCAGAACTTAAGTCCAGCCAGCAACCTCACAATTTAAATTTAATTTAATTTAAATCCCTTATGCTCATATAAAAAGGATGAAGAGAGCCCAGTGGAGTGCATGTATATGTACATGATTATAAGACATCTGCCAACTGCTGCTGTCTTTGAATATTTATTGAAATTAAACTGAAATTCATACTCCTTGGATTTTCTATAAAAAATACAACATATACTTCACTTTATTTGGACATAATCTACTGTTTATAATTTAAATCACAATAGTTATTACAAAAGATAAATTATAAAAATTCTGAGAATGGCTCTGTCTCAATCTTCACGTAAGCACATAAGGAAGTTATCCACTTTGTCATGCTTGCCAGACAAAGCTATTTTCATAAGTAGGCACAGAAGCACTAAATAAGGATACAATCATAAAGGAACAACAAACAGTACTGCATGGGAGGTAAGCACTACACTAATGTAACACAAAATTGTATTGAATCAAACAAGTTACCCAGCAGAACAGAATGGAACTGAAAGCTCAATTCAGTACCTACATTCCTCAGCCTTTACTGCCAACGTACTTCTACATATAACACTTCTTTATGTAAAGAATAATGTTTTACCAAATAAAGTCTGCAGGATGAATACAGGCAGCTGCAGACGAATATCTCTGAATAACTTATATCGGGAATAGCTGTGAAAGGTCAACTTTTATCTATATTACCATTAAAAAGAACACAGTAAACATATGAAGTGTGTTCATATTGTAATTCCATCTCAGAAGTAACAAAAGTGCCAATATGCAATTTCATAAAAATCTGTCAAAAAATATATTTAAAGATCCAATTAAGGCCTTAAATAAAGTGGTCCCAAAGATTAATTAAAGTAAATGAAAGCAAGAGTCAAAAGACTGAGAAGTTGGGCGTATAGACCATGCAAATGGTCCATACCAAACAAGTCCTATGCAGCAGGCTCCTTGAGAAGCTGGTAACTGCTCAGCTGAAGTAAAATTCTGTGTCTTTTATGGAAACCAAAGGTTCATTACTACATTCACAACAGCCTGCTACTGGACCCTTCCTGAACCAATTGGCTCCAGTCCACACCCTCACAATGTATTTCTTTAAGACCAATTTCAAAATGGATCAGGAAAGTCTATGTTAGGTTTACCATACTGAGTTACATCAAAATCAGTAGTTTAGACCCAGATACATGCAGGCTGAGAGGCTGACAAGACAACTAATAGGTGATGTTTTTCTTCAAAACACTACTAAAATGAAAGTCACCTTACCTATTATCCAGAGCATCATATAAATCTTGTCTATCTAACAATGACATAACAAGCCTTAGAGTGGACCAGACAGAGTCTGACATAGCAGACCATGACCTCTGCCCCTGAACACCTCTCCCTGCAGCCTGCTGGTTTAATGCAGTCAGCAAATGTTCAGCTGCTTCTCTGTAAGCTGCCAGATTCACACAAGTAATTCCAAGGTTATACCTGCAAAAATTCAGGAACAAGGGTCATCTTCATGTTGAAATGAAATGGTCTTACTAATATTTGTGCACAAAATTTCAGAACCATATAATGAATGTTGAAATTACTGCTGGTACAAAATTATGAAAGTTGGGTAACTTCCAATGACATGACATTCACACTGGGGTCCCTAAATTGGCTTAATGCAATACAAAATGGTCTGACTACAGACTGGAAGATCAGGGTTTGGTCCCTGGCAGAGATAATGAATTTTTCTTCTACCCTCTGCATCCAGACTGGTTCTGAGGCCCACCCATCCTCTTATCCAATGGGTACCGGGGATGAAGCTCAGCCAGGCATGACCCTAGCTATTCACTCCATCTGGTGCCCAACCACCTCCATGGCATGTAGTAGGACAGCTTTACAATATAAAATAAATGTCATCAGGAAATAACTATAGTTCGCGACTGTAATCTTGAGACTTGCGGGTGAGGAAGTGGGGTGAAGGAGGAAAGATAGCGTCAGCTTGTGACGCTTCGGACCTCCTGCATTCCTTACAAGTCTCAAGATTACAGTCACGAACAGTACACATTCTACTTAAATGAACAATGGAAATCTAATTTGAAATAAGATGGCCAAACAGACATTAAGTTATGAATTGTATGGAGCATGAGACATCAGTCACCCAAGAACAAAATGAGTGCAAAAGGCCATTACTTTGTGCCAATGGGACCAGAACAAGCTTTACAAGTTTTGATGTGGATAAAGTGGCCAATTCACTCAAAATTGTGTGTGACACACAATCATATGCATATGATGGTATGTTAAACCTTACTTTAATTATGAAATATATGCTAAAACTGAAGAACCAAACGAGAGGATAGAAGTTGAAGGTCAGGAGAGCTGATCCTAGTGTTCACATGGATTTGGACTGATAGAACATTGGTACCATAGGTTCAGGGTATGTGTGTATATATATGGGTTTCTGTGTTGTACCATGTAGGTAGAAGCCTTGTAATGTTTTTAACTGCCATGCCATCTTCAAAAAAAGATGATACATCAGTGAATTGTAACCTTCAATTTGTAAAAATGTAAATTGCATAGAATATCTTATAATGAATATCTTGTGATTTCTTTTTACCTAGCCCGTATAAATCCAGGTGAAAGCTGCAATGCATTATGGTAAGCATCCACTGCCTCTTCTGATCGATTGCCATTTGCTAATGTTGCTCCTAGACGGTTCCACATTCGAGAGTCCTGCAATAATATAAATTGTGACACTTCAATTATCTTGCAACTCAACTCCTACATTTAAATACATTTTTGCTGGCTCTTTCTTTGAGATTCGGGCCTGACAGTGGAGTATTGTTTGTTCTGCAGTAACAAACAACTCAAAACACTTCACTTTCTACATCTGCATGCTCTTTCTGATCCTCTTCCCACTCGTATATGTCAGCTCTGCTTGCAGTCTGCTTTTTGACATACTCGATTTATAGGAACAGTCTGCATTTGCAGCACCCCTGTGGAGAACCTAATAGATGCACTTTGTCCATCTGGCTGTACACATACAACACTTCAAGAATGGCTGAATAGGTTTTCATGAAATTTGGTATAAATATTATGCCACTGAAGGTTTCTCCAAATTCACAATTTTTAATTTACTAGAATTATTATGACCAACATGATGGATGCTTAAACAAGCATGATATGCAAATATTTTCTGACTTGTTTAAATATGTGAAAGAGGTGATAAAATAATTCTGTGCTCCTTAGAAATCTCACTTTCAATTTTTACTCATCTATATACCTATACCACTCTAAGTTTTATAATAATTACTAATTAATTATATTTTCTTTATGATGCCTTTCCTACTCCTGTTAACTCACACATACAAGCACAATGCTCTCTGATCAACACAAACTCTCACAGTAACAAAGAGCTAGTTATTTCTAAATATGCCAGGATGGAGTGAATGCAAGTGTCCTGTACAAGCTAACATGCTTGCAGTGTACTGCAACTTATATAGTGATACAGGGCTTCTCTGAAACATCTCACAAGCCTACTAATACCTATAATGACTTTTTTAGAATTTGGGCAGTTCAGATAATACCAAATGTCATTAAAAGAAGTATTCAAGAGTCACTGGACCCAATTCAGACTTGAAATATCCATGTACCCTTATTTTCAATTTTCATATTAAGAAGCATATACAATCCAATGCTATTGGTTGGGGAACTACAGTAACTTTCAGATTAATTGAACTCAGAAGAACTGAATACCTAATTAACAAAGTTTTACTGTGCGTGTGCCTAGTTTTGCCTTCTCCATTATATAGGACCAAGTTTCCTGCACAGCCAAAACTCATTGGCCTCCTAAAATAACAATACTGTGTACTCTGAGTCTAGGTATGGTGTTTGCCACACCTCCAAATGTAATGCGTTCAGCCTCTTTAGTGTTGTTCATACCATCTACATGCATGCATGCATGCATTATGTCTGTTGTAAGAATTTGATTTCTAACACCGATCCACAACTTAAGTTAAAATGATAGAATTTCTTATGCTCAAATCTAGAGAACTGTACACCTTAAATAGCAATATTTATGACAACATGTAGTAATCTGAATGGGAAAACTTATCACTCCTTGACAAATGTGAATGCATAAATGCATTAATGAGTAGTAAAATACACCTACTGTCTGCCGGACTTGTAGTGCAGCTTTGAAGCAATCTACAGCTTTGTCATATTCATTACTGAGGTTAAATAGTACGCCCAGTCCACACTGAACATCAGAATCAATTGTTGCTGATGGATTTCTCCGAGCAGCTGCAATGTACATTTCCTGGACCTTTTTGTGGATGCCACTGGACAATAAGAAAAACTCACAGAATTTACAGGTTTGTGTGATATGGCTTATTATGAAGTTATTAAGTATACATGCAGTCATTAGCCACCACACTTAAGATGGCTATTTACATTACTTTCACATTTTTCCATGGTTTCTTATTTTATCATTTCATTCCACAAATTTTGCTTGGAGTGTTTTCTGTCTACAAAAGAGTCTTAAAAATTAGTTTTGGCCTCAAGAAAAGTATATTCAGTTTGGTTTGTATGATCAGTAATTAACATTTTGAGCATAAACTTTTCTAATAGGACACCTCATTAAATTCAATATAAATTTAAGAATACAAGAACATATTTCACTGACAAATTTGGGATTTCATATACACTGGTAGTCAAAATCACATGGATCAAAATTAAATTTTAAAATTTGAACTATTTATACATTCTAATCAATATGTAACACATTTTCTTAATATATTATGAATTTATGGTGTTTATATAATTTTAAACCATTCAAATTGTATCCCAGAATAAATTATAATCACTATTTTTACAGTAAGTAGTGTCAGTGCATTTCATTTTTCACAGAGCTAGTAACCAATTTACATACACAAACGGTGCATGAAACATGCAGTACAACTTACTCAGTCTTACAACTTCCTTACCTTGTTAGCAATGATGACACATTTCCCATTTTTGAAGAACTTGTTATATCCTCACTTTTTGGCACCAAATCTGAGTATTTTGGATTCTGATGTAGCCATTCCTGCAATTATAACAATGTCAATACTGTACCATAAACTAACAGTACAGACAAAACACGACACATAAAATACATTACCCTTAAAGCATGGCAGGCTTGATTCTGGTACCCCTCGTTGGTATAGCTAACAGAAAGAGCCATAAGTGCTATTAGGTTACTTGGCTCTAGTTCTAGACATTTCTTCAGAGCTGCAATAGCTGCTGGATCCTGCAAAAATATACAAATTTAACACAAATGATGCAATACTGTAAAAAGACCTACAGGTGTATTCTGATTTATGTGCCTTCAGTATGTAAATTTTTATATATACTGGATAAGGTTTACAATTTTATAAAAACTTCTGCTAAGTTATAAAAGGGAAGTCCAATTCCCACATCTTCAGAAATTTCCATGGGTATTTTAGTATTTGGCTGTGTAAATGTGTACTACAAGACCACTGCTGCATCAAAAATAATTTGCTTATCACTGACATGGCCAAGCTGCCATAAAAAAGACCTACCAGTGTGGCCAATACATGAATACAATTTAGCATGATTCAATCAAGGATTTTTGCATACAAAAATGGCATAACAATTTTGTTATGACAAATAGTAAAGGTATTTATCAATTGTAGAAGACACTTAGTAATGAATGTAAAAAAGTATATTCATTATGAATTGTGAATTTGGAGTAATGTGGAAGGAAGCTGTTGCTAGGAAACCATATAACATCCCAGTAAGGATAGGAAGGTATAGTAGAGTCCTGAACATCCGACCCAAACGGTACCAAAGGATGGTTGGATAATAAGGAAGACTAATGAAAATGTACATATCAACTCAATTTATATTAAATTATGAAGAAAATACAATACAGCATCAAATAAAAAATCTCACAAGCAATAATAGTATTTAGCAGTGTGTGGTGGGGGAATGTGATTCATTCTACTACACCAGTGGTCCCCAACCTTTTTGTGCCTACGGGCACATTTGAGAGTTTATGAGATCGTGGCGGGCACCAACCAATTAACAAAGCCAAATTTTCTTTTCTCTGGACAAATAAGATATGGACACCAAATAATACACAAAACAACACGACGTTTAATGATACAAGAAACCATGCAATCAAAAATACATAGTTTTATAAGTACAATTATTATTACTCAAGTGGGAAGTTAGTGTGATGTTGCTGCTCGCAAACAATCGTCAAGATGGGCGTCAGTAAGTCAAGATCCGTGCTTTAATTTTATTATGTTAATGGTTGAACGACCTTCATTATTCAGTATAACCTCTTTCCGTAACAACGCGGGTACCGCATTGGGGACCACTGCACTACATACTCAGTTGACTGTTGATAAAATGGAGCATTCTGATGTGGCACATCAGATAAAACAGAATGAATGTTAAATAACTGAAGGTCACATAACTGGGACTCCACTATACTTGTAAACTGCAAGGATGTTCCAATAAGACTAATATGTTGATGAAAGATTCTTGGGTTACAAGCCACCTCATGCGGCTTGTGACCTGAGAATCTTTCATCAACTTTAGTCGCCGCAAAAGTTTCACTTAATACATAAGACTAATATGTGTTTTGTGTATGTTGTTTGTATGTAAACTTGCACATTTTCAGCAATTCCCTATCAACATCACTTTAATGGGTAAGATCAGATGATTAGACACAATGAATTGGAAATGAGTGAGAAAATTATCATGATCTATTTCTAGGCACTATCTCAACATTTGCCTGGAAGGACCAAAGAAAATCACAGAAATTTCAGGTAGGTAGTCAGCACCCTGGCTGAGACTCAGACTGAGTACATTCTCAATACATTGTTTAATGAATTATATGAACAAACATTAGAAGTGACTAAACAAATGAGAAATCTCCTTTGATGCTAAATATGTGGGAAAAATCGGATACTGCAAAATTATCTAAAACTGATTCTTTAATTCATACACACACTATGCATATACCCTGTATGCAGTCAGATCAGAGGTACACCCCTCTGTGTTCACTACTGTCATATGGGTCAAAAGACCAAAACTCCTACCACATATATGTTATCAGTGATGATGTGCTTTTCTTCTTAGTTTCTTTTTATACATTTTAACCAATGTATCCTAAATATCTGTGGTAAACCAAACTATTTATCATCTTATGATTTTGTTTCTTTAAACTATTTGTAAGTCAAAAAGTCACCTGTTCATTTTCAGCTTGTGTTGTACCCAGAAGTTGCCAGGCTTCACTGTTGGTTTCATTTTGTTGAACTGCAGCTTCAAAGCATAGAGCAGCACTTGGTAAATCCCCAGCTTCCAGTTTCTGTTTACCTTCTTCCAAGGCGCTATCAATAGCTTTCATAGGATTGTCTGCTTGAAAATGATATTCCTGTAACACAACCATAAGAATCATTTTCTTGAAGATCTGAAGCATGTATTCTGAAAATTATACCTAGGGATTAAGAAACATTTCTGGGTTGTGATGCTGTGTTCTTGTAAGTTGTTATCAAAGGAATGTCAGTAACACCTTACAAGAAGAACTGGCATAAAAACAAGGAAGCCAATGGTCAACATCTTCACCACCATGAGAACCACAAATTCCAGATACAATATTCCAAGTTTCATGTTTTTCATTCTATTAGCCTTTACTGGCTGTGTATCACACTGTTAACTGCATTCCGTCTGGACTTGCACAATGTCAAAGTAGGTCCTTACTTAGAGCTATTTTGTAGCAGTTATGACACTGCAATTTTGTTCACTGCTCTGTACTATTTTCTGTTATGCTTTCCAGCTGATATTCATGTCACTATCAACCCTATAAAGGCTGCTGTCAAGTTGCAGTCATATGGTCACAACTGTCAAGGTCTTGAGAGCAGTGTCTGAATGTAACCATAGCACCATTAGAAATTCTGAACACAGAAACTGACCTACACTGCAGCACCTCGTGTTTGAAGTATGCCGAGTTAAAGCTCAAATGGTGGAGAAATTCTCCACCAGTTGAGCAACTATCAGCTTCTGAAGACATCAGTGAGTTTCACTACATCTAAAAACATGTTACAATTATGCAACATTTTCCAACTACATAAACAACAACCACAGAAGTTAAAATGTGTAACCTTTATAATTACTGATCAATCACTTTTAAAATTATTATTCTTGGGTATCATTACATAAGACTTCATTTCAGGAAGGAAGAAACACAAAACATACTAAGTTATGCTGATGTATTTGTTCTTTGTACAGTGCAATCCTGATATAAGAATTTATAAATTTGGGAAAATACTTGCTCCAATGAGTACTTGAGAAATATCTGAAACCAGTTTAAATACATAACCTGCAATTCCATTTCCTAACTACTAATATGTACATCACAATATAGAATTACATTTAGGGAAATATTTGTTCTTAAGTGGTTATCATGGGGTTATGAAAACAATAAATCTACATTATTGACATTTTACCATTACCTAAACCAAGAAGTCGAAACATTTTCTTATACTTTCATAATCTCTTATACTCGCAGCAGCCCGATTATTATGACCCATAATTTTGAAGCAGAAGTTCCACTCACATTCCACCTATAGTTCACTGACTTGGCATAACAGATGTAACATGCAAAAAGTTGAGATTAATCCAATCTTTAATTACACAACTACGTTACAGGCTGATTCTAAATGCCTCGATAGAAAAGCACTGGTGATCTATCATACAGAATAGCTGATTGTATTTTGTCCTTGTTCTTAAAAATAGTGAACAATGTCAATGACGTAAATTCATACCATCCTCCGACTTTGCTCTTTGATAAGCTGACAGAGACATATTACTTTGTATTCGAGTCTAAGTGCTTCCATTAAAGCTGTCCCATTATAAGCCATGTAGGTGCTTGGGGGGAGAGGCAGTATAGCTCTTACTCATTCTTGACCTCAGCACTAGATGAGGGTGAGTGGTCAACATCACGCCCTGGCCACGCTTTACCCCCAGGAAAGGTACCTGATACCCATTGGATAGGACGCTGGGTGGGCCCCAGAACCAGTCTGAGGCTAGAGGAAAAATCCTCTGCCCCATCAGGGATTGAACCCCAGTTGTCCAGTCTGTAGCCAGTCACTATACTGACTGAGCTACCCTGGTCCTTATAAGTGTTTCCATTTCATTACCAAAATAAGGGGTTGAATACTTAATAGCTTAAGAAAATAAAGCACAATCACAGAAGTCTCCTATCCTCTATAACATCAGAAACAATAAATTTCCAAATGTCTTTGCTATGATGTACTTCAAAAGGTGGAGTATCTGTTGGCAAGTGCAGAGAGATAGTGTACTGCGTCACTAGCATCTACTATGAAGTGACATTAGTCATTCTGGGTATAGCAACTGGCCTGAGCAGATCACTTAAATGTGTGCATCATCTGAGACATGTAGTTCTCATGGCTGTGAATATGTTCCAAAATGGCTGTCTTCTGGATTTCAGAGGTCAATGCTGCCTCCATAACTGGCGTGATGACAAAGGCAGCAGACTACATGGTACCACAACCCAGAACACAGCCACCTTTACTCATAACCATGAGAACCTAAAATCCTACTTATTGAAGATGTTTATTGTAGTCTTCCAGCCTGTGATACCATGTGGTCTTGTAAGTGGTTACCAACCCAACAGGCCATGATGAACATGTGCATTATCAGAACAGGTATGTTTCCTCCTTCTGTGATGTGACAACACTGTAATATGGAACTAGCCCCAATAACAGTTCACTATTGTCAATTTTCCATACAGAGTGCAGCAGAAGGTATTGAATTCTGCACCTGTCACATTGTAGCTGTTATCTGCATCAAGAAGCAGGACAACTGTCAGCATGTTAACCATCTAAGAACAACACTAGCTGAGTGAAATAAAACAACAATCAGTTTCTGCACTGTGGCAGAGACTTCTGGATATTGCTCTACTGGAATGAAGAGGAAGTTCTGAATATATTTCTCACTGGCTAAAATATAGAGTAAGATTCTGGAATGTGTGCTTTCTCCTTCTAGACCAGAGAGAGGTACAGAGGATGGGTTAACAGTACCTTTATAGACTGCAATCAAAAACAGCTTCAGAAGTACAGTCTGCACAAAACATTATGAAAAGTCACAGCTACTCAAAAAGTGCTCGTTATGGCAAAAGGTGTTGGAAAGAAAGCCCTCATTTTATTCCAAATGTTCCATATACATAATGTTACTAAATTGGCAATGCTTATGACGTAGCTCACTATGCACAAATTCTAGTTACAGGCTATAATATTTTTTGTAGTTACACTGTATACATAATCAAGATAAATTAAAAAGAAGATATTTTTGAAATCTGTTTGACTTATTAGAGTAACAAAGTATTCTTTTCTCCATGTGGTCAATTTTTTATGCTTAGTTTATTAGCTGGAAGGCCATGGAAAGTGGTCACTGCCTGTATTCATGGTACTATGACAGCATCTACCTAGAAGAAGTCAGAAAAATACCATAAAAGCCTCTGGATACTGGAATCTAGCCTGAGTTTCAAACATGGGGCCTCCCTTTGGTCCCTTATGTTTCAGATCAATAAATTTATTAAATGAAGGATCAATATGCTCAACAAGTTATAAGAAACTGTGTGGCTGCATCATTTACCTTAAATGGATCATAATATTCTGAGAATTCAGAGATCCAAGGATGGTCCCCTAACTCTCCACCTTTAGCCAGCTTCTGCCATTCATCCTGTAACTTTGCCCAGAATTGAGAACTAGTAGAGCTATCATCATCCTGTTCAGAGGCTGAAGTTTCAGTAGCAGTACTAGATAACTCTGAGTGATAGTTTCCTTGAAACTGTTCAGTCCAAGATGCTGCTGCATCTCTTTTTTCAAGGTTAGATTTTTGCAATGTAGCAAATTCTGAAGCCCAGATATTAGCTTCATTGATTGAATCCTGTTCATCTAGTTCTCCTTCCTTGTCACCAATAACTTGACCACCCTCAATTGTAACCTCACCTTCACCAACTTGATGCATGAACTTCATGAACTAAAAATAAAGAAGAAAAACAGCATTAAATTAAACACAACAACAGAACCTTCCATTTAAAGCAGTGAAAACCAGAATGATACTGGTAAGTTGTACATGTAATACTGATACAAACACTAGATGGTGCCTTGTGATTATGTCTGTGAACTATTAGCAGCCTTACTAATTTCAATATTTTTAATTACTTTTTACTTTTTTAATCATCATTATGCTACCTCAAAAACCACCAACTGTCCACAGATCAAGATTAGCTCCTTCTCATAGGCTCAACTGTGTAGGTTCACCTGAGGATGCACTGCAAAATAAAACTAAATAATCCTGAACACACCTTCGAATAAGTGAACTTCGGGTCATCAACAGATTTCAGTAATTCATTTGCTGTGTTTTGCAATTCTTTGTTAGTACCATCAGCTTCTTTTTCTGAGCCTGATGCCCATTCAGTACTACTCTCTCTGCAAACAAAGAAACAGATATAATGTATGTACCTACAGATCTCATTAAAACAAAGTTGTAAATCAGAACTGAACAAAAAAGCAATTAACACACTTTCTATCATTTTATACTCAGATAAAGATTTATCTTAAATTTATTTCTTGTCTGACAAGCAATCAGACAAATATGAAAACAAAACACTTAAAAATGTTTTACTATTTTAATATCATACCATCATGACACAATTTTTCACCCTCTTATTACGTGACATAATATACTGGCTAATGGATTAAAAGTAAACTCAACTGTACTACTTATTAATGACTGTCAATATATATTAATCAAATCAAAACCCAACATAAAAACTAAAATTAAAAGTAAAAAGCTGTCCTACTATATGACATGTAAGCACTTGGGAGGAGAGAAGGTATAGCTCTTACTCATTCTTAACCTCAGCATTAGATGGGAGTGAGTGGTCAATGTCATACCCTGGCCACACATAACCCCCAGGAAAGGACCCTGGTACCCATTAGATAGGAGGCTGGGTAGGCCCCAGAGCCAATAGGAAAAATCCTCTGCCCCCACTGAGGATCAAACCCTGGCTGTCCAGTCTGTAACCAGTCACTATACTAAGTGAGCTACTCCGGCTCTCAATCTTAAAAGCAACATAACCTGAAGTTTTAGTACTTCCTCAATACCACACTGATTGGTTGTAATGCCAAGACTCAATGGCCATTACTTTAGTTGTGAAATTAGGGTACACCACAGGAAGATGAGGAATCATTAAGGTATGACAGGCTGTAAGGAATACATGCTACTGTTAAACACTGGACTGATCCCAACAGTACCCATCTAGCAACAGAAGAGAAACACATTTTCTAAACATTACATACAATCACTATGAAGGTGGGCAACCAAGTTTTTGGATGTTTCAATTGGCAAGATAATTAACAGTGTTCAGTTAAAAAAAAAGTCCACAAACTGAACTGAATTTAAGTTACTTTCAACGTTCTCCACAGATGTAATGATAATACTGCATGGCTTAGTAAAATAGAATTAGGTAGGCAGTAATACTATTCAAAATGAGACTTGGGAGAATAGTAGTAAACAATTTTCAAACACTCAAAGGTTACAATAATAACAACAACAGAAAGCATGAAGGATGTATAATTTTCACAACTTCAAAAAAGAATTATGAAAACAAGTACACAAGCCATATCAATATTACAACTCAAATGAGGTTCTAAAACCATCAATACCATTGGTGTAGTAACATTAACTTCCATGGCTGACAGAAATGCACATCTTTTATAACTTGTACCAAATGGTAGGAACCTGAAGACGGAGATAGAGTCCCATCTCCGAAACGTTGTTTTACGTTTTATATTTACTAGACGATGGATAATATCAAAGAAAATTTTTATTCAATTGTACCAAATGGGTTGCAAAGTGATGATTTGCCCCATATGGAAGGTACCTGGTTTAAAAACCTGCTGGAGGCAGCTACTTTGATATTTTCATGGTTTTCCTCAGTGTCTCCATAAAATTCTAAGAGATCAAATTAAAATAAGCTGCGAATAATTCCTCCTGTTTCACTCCTATTCACAATTTACTACCATCTTATCATACCTATTCTGTAACATAATCTCAGTAGTTTGCTATAGTATCATGAAATAACTTCATAATCAATCAATCCATAATCCTTTTCAGGAGCATTCTCAACCCCGAAAAACACCTACGTTTGTCTGTCCATCCATACGCATGAAACAACTCAAGAACAAATAAACCATTTTAAACTTTATATTTGTGCACCAGATTCCAACAAGCACTCTACTGAACATTATTCAGAATGCAGGATTGCTTACAGATTGCCTACACCCAATGCTATAATTCTATTCCAAAACTATTCTACAAAAATACTGTTTTGTATGAATTGTTTCCAGATCTGTGCACATATCAGAAAGGAGTTGCAAGCAGTAGTCTAAAAAAACAATCAACTTACAACTTGTGTTCACTGGCCTCCAAGTATTCCTGAGCCCATTTTGGACCAAATCCTAATTCAAATACTTCTTCTACTTCAGACAAACCTTCTTCTCCACTTGCAATTGCTGACGCATTCCATATTTCCTCCTCATGTGGCTCTTCCTGAAGGCAGAAAATTCAGACTTAATCATTACTGTGTGCACTTTCCACTGCCAACTACCAAGCTTAAATTACCAAACTTCTTCCAGATTTAGTAGGAAACTATTTATTGGGCTTCTTGAACAAATAAGCGTCTGAAATTGTCAAATTGGCTAATAAGATTACAACTGTGAGGAAAATTTAAACTATCATGAGAAGTCTTACATAGCTCCCAAAAATACAGAAACATTACAGACTATTTATTAAAATAAATACAATAAATGCCATTGCAGGTTTATGTAATCTGTGATATGTTGTGAAAGCAAACATAAAATAACTTTGATTATCCAATTATTCAAGCAGATTTTCTCCATCATCAGCCGAGATAATTTATAGATACTGGATATCAAATCCTTCACAACCAAAGACTCCCTTAGATTTTCTGAGCCCTGATAATTCTGCCAGCAAAGTGAGTAGCTATGATCTGTAAAACTCTGACCCAATTCATAGCAGAATCAGAGGTTTTCTCTTTGCCACTACATCTAGATGAATTCCAAATACTCCTCTTTATCTTTCAAACATAAAGAGGTCACACGGTAAAGGTGATCAATCACATCTAGAATACATTATGCCTCATATATAAGTTCCCAATATGCTTTTAAGACACAGAGTGTTACACATGAGAGTAAACTTAATTCCTGTATTTTGCAATGCATGTCTTTGAGGAACTCAATGTTGCAGAATTTGATCTGCGATTCATTTCAAGATCAACAAGGGCAACTATTCTCCGTTTTCTTCAATTTCCTATGGACATAAATCCTACTACTCAAAGACTGCCGTTTATCATTTGTCCCTGCTGTGAGTCAAAAAACTATCAGTCAGGTCCAATTATGACATAGCACTTGGATATTTCTAAACTTTTACTCACATCAAAATGCTTTCCAGATTCAAGATACTGTTCAGCCCATATAGAATCCTCAGGTGCAAGGCCATCACGTGCCAGAGCTGCTACACCAGGTGCAGGGACAGGTGCATGAAGAGCGACTGCTGACTCAATCTCACGCATCTCCTGAAGTAATGAGTCCATGCGAAAGGTTTGTGGAGGAGGGCCCAAAGTCTCTTCCAAGAACTGATGAACCAGCTATAACAAACAAAACATAAAAATTATGGAAAGACACTACCATATCTCACCAAAATCTATTTTCCTTGTTAATATGGAAGAAGCCTGTACAAAAATAAAACATACATGACCCATTCGATTTCTTTTAATAACTTAGACTAAGATTCAGAACTATTCTTCTCACAATGGGCAAGCCAGGTGCAGCAGCATTTATACATTCAAGCAATAATTCATTCACTATTTACAACAATGACATGTTAATAATTATGATTTGTAATTTAACAATGCTGAATTACTGCACGTCAAGTGAATGCTTGTCACCCAGGCATGGGACGTTCTCAGGTTGCAAATAGAGGACAGCTTCTGAATACTAAGTGTAACTGTGACTATACTCAATAAGCAGCCATGGACAGTTGATAAAAGGTGGCACCTTAATTTTGGATTAAGTGGGATCTAATAACTCCACCATAAAAACTAACATGTTATAACAAAGATGGCTGTCTTCTAGGTTGCTGCACCATGTAGTCTGGTAGACATTTACCAATGTTTCTGAGGTTCTTGCTGAATATATCATCAGGGTGATGAGTAAGCCATGCGAGTGGAAACACCAGAGTTATAGGAAATTGACCATTAAGGAAGAGCCTAACCCTAATCAGTATGGACTGGTGTCAGAATCAGAAGAGGGCGTGGTAACCAATAACAGCGTGGGGGCATGTCAGCATGAGAGAGACAGAGAGAAGGAAACCTCTCTCTTTCCTTTCCACCCAGCTTCCTATCAAATTGGTACTGAAGTCCTTACCCAGGAGTAAAGCATGGCCAGGGCATGATGCTGATCACTCAACCCTATCTACTGCCAAGGTTCAGAATGAGGAACAATACCTTCTTTCCCCACAAGTGCCTACATGTAGTATAGCGGGATGGCTTTGCTTTTACTTTATAAGGAAGAACTGTCACAGCAGTAGAAGAAATCTTTTATTGTACTAAATAAAGGGCAACAAAACTCACTACAGCAATTATGAAGGAATATCAGTGTCTACTATACACAAAATTGTATGCAACATTCTTCTCTCAATGTTATTTCATACACAGAATTATTGGGAATAAACAGAGTGGGGACATAACAGATCAACTATTGTTGCTCAGCTATTCTGTACTTATCAGAAATGAGAGTACCACTTTGGAATATATCTGGAATGTATGTATCTTTAATAAATGAATAAATATGCAACAAGCTCACAGGTGTGAAACATAAAGAAGAACATATACAGAGTGCACACTTTCCATTCTCATTTGAACATGTCAATTTCTCTCTCTCTAAGGAAAATACAAAGACTGGATGTATGAAAATAAATTAGATATTCTGACTTAAGGAGAATGAGGTATAAACTGAGAAAATTACAAAGTAGGAGCTTTGAGTTGTGCTTTTTTAGTATAAGCAGAATTATTAAATCAGAGTCTGATTGAACAAATATATCACATGCATGAATGATGCAAGAATTATGCAAAAGACTACTGCAATAATTCAAGAAAAGAGGCTAATTGGAAAATGTAAGCATAGATAAAGGGTAATGTTAAATTGTATATCACAGAATTTTTATGAACATACATTCTGGACTGACAGTTTCAGGCAAGAGTACAATGACAAGCTTATGTTACAACTGTGATGGACCACCATGTTCATATAAGCAGAAATTTACTGAGAGCTGCACAGCTATTTCCTGCTTGGATGGGCTTTGTAGTATGAAACAAAGTTAGTTACTTTGGTACAACCATGCAAGAATTACATTTTCCAGGTAACTTTTTGAAATAATCATATTAGTTATGTTCCTTACAACAACAAAATTCACCTCTTTGTAAAAAAACATTTAGATAAGAAACTTTGATGTCAAATGACTCTATTCGGTTACTTACAGCAATGAAGTAATTTATCAGAACAAAACAACATTATCACCATGTTTACAATGCTAGTCAATCTCTGTTAATGAAAGGATGCATGACTGTTAATAAACACAATATGCACCTGCTTTAAAAATTATGAAAACCCATTACATTTGTTACACTCTATAATTTGTGAAATAACACTTAATAGCATATATTACCTGATCTGAGTCGGTGTTTGAAAAGCCACCACCATTCTGAAAAGGATGACGAAGTCCTTCTTCCTTCAATCCTCTGTCTTGAACAAAATGTGATGTGAGTCTCACTAATGAGTTTGTCCCACCACAGTCACCTTCTACTAAGTCACGCAATGCCATTGTATCTGTAAGAAAAATTAGATCCAAGACATATTAGCAATATCATGTGTTACTGTATTTAAAAATAAAAATCACTTTCCATTCCCAGCACTCAATAGGATATATGCAAGTAGTATTTATTTCAAACTATAGACACGCATTTCTTCCCTGTCACTAATTCGTGACAACATATTATCCCATTAATATCATGTAACCAGGATGACCTTTGACACAAACCCTCATGACATAATGATTATCATACACAATCGACATCTTACATGAGGAAAATGAACAGTCTAAAGACAACTGTCAGTCTTTTACTTCATTGGTACCCTTGGCAATCTCTCACCTTTAAAAAACATATAATTATAACGATATGATTTCAAGTAAAACTGAAGACATAACATTTAAGGTCTACACAGACATGTTTAACTATTCGCAACTTTTTGATTCTTTTGTTTACTTTTGTTTTCAAGCGACTTATAAAACGCTGACCATAGTAAACTGCACTGAAGAACCCTACAATAGTCACAGATGATAACACTTCGTAAATGAAGGCATGATTCTTTTAATGATAGTTCTTTTCAGTTCATGACACCAGATTGCAGTATATGCAATAGACATACCGATTTTAATTACTAATTTTTCAAGAACTTGGCAGGAATACATAGTAGGTTGTTCAGAGTGGCCCTTATTGTTTTGGTTATCTACCGCATATTAAGATTCTTCAAAATGACCGTTTTAGCGGTCTACTTGCTCGTAAATTTCCTCTTCTTGTCTCTTTTCTACAGAGAAATTTCATGTGACATTTCTTTCTTAAAAATAACAGCTTAAAGAGCTTAAATCGTCTTCGTGTTTGTAATTCTTTCCATTTGTTACGGTTTGTCCACTTTTAAACTTCTTTAACGTTTTCTGTAATTGGTGTCAATATATTGCATTACATATTTAACCTAGAATGAACCGAAATGCAATTCTTGTTTCAGAGTTTTGGTAACGGGTGACTAAAAACTATTTACTTTGGTTACAGCCGTGCCAATAGCACAGACCATCAAATCCTAATGGACACAAGCAAATGGTTTGTTGAAAGATTCATGCCTGAGGTGATGCAACATCCCATCTAATTCTACTTAATTTTATTACTGTCTAATTCAAATTTTGACAGTAATTCTCTAACTGTTTAGGGGCACTGGGCGACAAGCATGTGACCAGGCTCCCTCATATAGTTGCTTTCAATTTATTATCCTCATAGAAGCATTCTCAGTTGTTTAACTAGCTCTTTAGTTGTTCATTATAACTTAATAGCAGCAGACAATTGGTCCTTTGGGTGCGGGGGAGGAGGAGGAACATGGTGCACTCTAACACGGGAAAACATTTGAAAGTGGGACGTTAAACATACCAAAATGCGTTATCTGGTCCTACCAATAAAATACCGTGTGTTTATTGTAAAGAACAAAGCAGTCCCATTACAGACTTGTCTACTGAGACCGTATACTGAAAGTTAGCATCGAATGTACAAGTGGGCAGTAGAGTCGAAACAAAATAACGTTGATTTTATTACAGAAGCAATTCTTGTACTGCACAACTTTATTAAGAAATATGTGTATGCTGAAAATACATTTGAATATCTGGAATCACTGACAATGGACACTGAAGGTTAGTTCCACTCGTACCATATCTGCTCATTGGCGTCATTATTACTGAAGTACCGCGAAATATTGTTGCGAACAATGTTCGAAGGCACTGAACTGACACCAATGCAGACGGCAATCGACAGTAAAGCGTTTGACGCACTTTATGTCGGCATCACGTTGGTGGCACTGAAATATCAGTGATTTTTTGAATGAACTCTTGTTACATAACTTTGACTAAGAGGGATGTGAAGATTTTCATATCTGTTGTTATAAACATGGCTGCTTGGAGTTCATTTCGGAAAGCAGTTTGGGGTTGGAGCCCTCAAAATTGTATTGCAAGGTCACAATTAAATGATTTTAATGCAGCGTTAGGTAAGAACACAATTTTTAAGTACGTTGTACAGTATCTTGTCAGATATTTTAAGTGGACCAAACATTTATGAATAATTAATAGGTTCCCTATGAACTTTGAAGGTGTGAAGTGTGGAAAGTAAATAAGATTTAGTTTCTTTAGAATGAGAGGCTAGGATAGTATAGTCAAGACTGCACAGTACGTGGTCAGTATTGACTAGTGCCTGCCTTAGAGAATTATGCATCATTTGTGTTTTCTTTGGGGGTGGGATGAATGAATGGCATTTGACATGGTAAAGTGGGGTTATCTTACCGTGCTTGTTTTTTGCATTGATTGTTGTTATTACGATAGTGCCTTGTTTATCTGCTCATACATTGTGAATTTATTAATGTAACTTCTTGTCCAGGAGTACAAAAATGTATGATGAGTGGTGGCCATGGCCCACGATATATGCCACTCACACCATCCCGATGGCAGTGGCACAGGTTTAAAGACATGGCACATTACTACTTTATGATTGGCCTCATACCAGTTGGGCTTATCGTTTTTTATGCAAATGTATTCATTGGACCTGCTAAACTGGCTGAAATTCCAGAAGGCTATGAACCTAAATACTGGGAATACCATAGGGTTTGTATCCAAAGAGATGGAAACAATTTGTTAGTAGGATCTTAGAAAGCTGAATATTTACACACTGTTATGATTATTTTTGCAGCATCCAATCACACGTTTCTTAGCACGTTACCTTCTGCCAAGTCCTCAACAGGACTATGAAAAATTTTTGCACCGGATGTATGAAGAGGATGAGAAAGCAAAAATAAGGTTTTGTTAGTGAACCAAGAAATTAGAATTGGTAATAATATTTGGTGCTAGTTAAACTAAAAGTTATCATTCTTTTTCAGAAAACTTGAGAAGAAAATCCGTTTAAAGATGGCAGAGCGACGCGATTACCAGGGTTACTATGCTCGTCCAGTTGATGCAAAGTATCACCGTGTATCGAAAGAAGCTGCTGATTATCTTGAGTCTCTTCGTGGAGATTAGAGTTCATTGTTTCACAAACATGTAGTTACACTATGTTTCCAATTGTATAGTTTAATAAATTAAAAAGTAAAATATTAAGTTTTCTCAATTTATTTTTACGTTCGAATTACAGAGATTCAAAGTGTCAAAAGGCAGGAGGGATTATGTAGAAATTTATCATGGACCTTGGGCTATACATTCTAAGTCTTATTCTGTGTTATCTGCTGTTAATTATGCCGTCCCTGAAATATGATTAGCAAATTTGTATTGTTTGTTTAAAACTTCTTAATGCGTGAGGAGTCTTTCATCAAGTCTGTATTTAACAAAACAAGAAATTTACTGTTGTGTAAGTCTTCAATGTTTCATCAGTGTAACCATAATTATCTCAGTGGGTTTTATCCTGACCCAGCTCAATCCAATTTACAACTGATGCAGGCCAACACAGCGTCTTCAAGCAGGTGACAGAGCTAGGTAGAGAATAGGAAGGGAATAAATCAACCATTTTCTGGGCCTACCAGAGGGGATCATGTTCATGGTGGCCTATTTCCATTCATTCAAATTGCAAATGAGAGGTTTCCATGACCTACTTAGGAAAAAAACCATCCTGTTCATGTCAGGATGGAGCTCGATCTCTATTGCTTCCAAGATGCAGTATATGTTTCTTAACCTGAGAAGCCTGGAAGGATGGATGTCTGGGCCAAGATCTGAACCACAAGCTTCTGAATTAAAAGCAAAGTGGCAACCAGTTGACTACCAAAACTTAGATTGTTGAAAAAAGAAAAGGCATAGGTCTCTATTCACTAATGCATGTTTGGACCATATACTGCATTAAAACCACCTACACACCGACACAATACTGTAGAAAGTTGGTAAGTTTCCACTATCAATGTCACAAAATATGTTTGTTCACAGACATTTTGCAGCAGAATTTTAGCTTACTCTTCTGCCCATATGTAACTACTATTGATGATCAGATTTTCATAATGTTTGGTATTACTGTTACTATTAAGAACATTTACTAACCAAATTGAATTTTATAAGAAACTGGACAATGCTCAATTCTGTGTCTGCTATAGAATTATTTTCACTGTATAGTCTGTATAATAGTCAATATTCTCAATTTTAAATAGTAGGCAAGAAGATATGAACATTTTAAAGTAATAGATGTACCAAAAGTTTTGCACATGAAGTATGTTTCTGTTTTGGGTGTAGGGCTTTATTTCAAAACAACTTTGTGGTACATTATTAATATTATTATCCCAAGGACAGAAAAATGACATTCAACTGTTTTTATCCACATACTGTACAAATTACTTGTGCTTGCTGCATAATATGAATCAGATATTATATCAATATATTTTTTCACACCATCTAATATATAACACAGCTGCTTCAATTATTAGTTACTCCAATTTGGGCAAATATCCCACAGTTAACACGACAGAAAGACAGAAATGAAGTACAACCTACACCTCATTTTCCTTGGCAGACAAAAAGGTTTATTTCCTTGCAAATCAGGCCAGAAAAAATCTTTCATTCATTGACCACTACCTATTTTGTTTCACTTCATATCAGAAGTCAGCTTGAGGCATACTTTCTTTTAATTCTGTCATTCATATTCCTGAGTACGTCCTTCAAACATAACCCAAGGATTGCTTTCTCTTTTTTATATTGTATATTTATTCTTGTTAAAAATTAAAAACTTCAAGGCTACCAGTGAATTAAGTACAACATTGAATAGGTTATTAATGTGTCTAAAGCATCACCTCCCACTGTTGAAACTAGACCCTTCCTTGTTAATAATTATATATAATCATGAATCTTGAAAAATCTTACTAACAATCAAACCTTGCTTGAACATTTGATGTAAGAAACTGTGTCTTAATTGGTTTAGTGGACAATCAAGGTGTGTCATAAAATTTCAACAGTGAAAGTGAAACAAGACTGATCTAGCATCTAATTTTCACAATCACCTTTCTAACTTGCTAACTATTTATACAGTTACATATGTGTAGGCAACGTCAAAAACAAATCTTCTGAACTACCCAAATCAATTGCTCTTTCTTTAAAGGAATCCTGTGTAGAATAGTAATAAAAAATATCATTCAATTCATGAAGGATGTATATGAAAGGATAGTGAGAGAAATCATACTATACTGTTTAAATCAACACAACATGATGATAATTGTCGATCATCAAAATAATGGAAACAAAATACAGATACCATCTAGACATCACAACTTAGTATACAAAACAACTTCTGACTGATTCATACTGAGTTTGGAAATCTTCCCCTACAGAACCTACCATAAAATTATTGGAATGTTCTGGACAAAACAAAGTATGGGGAGATCACATCTGCTTAAACATTTACACACAATTTTAAAAATGGTTTTGCTGATAGCTGTTTATTCCTTGGTACTTCAAACTTCTGTACCAGAACTCATTAATTTTATTATGATTTCTTTACAATGTTAATGAGTTTCAAGACTACTTTTGTAGAGACAATTTCAGGGAGATTATAATGATAATCAGTAACATGTATTTCCATTTTGAAATTGCTAAACAACAAAGTTCTTAAGAATTTGTAAAATCAAACATGGAAAACTACACTTTTACTTCATTTAACAAAACTGTATGGATTCACTTTCAAGTTCATTAGCAGAAATTAAAATATCAAAAGTGTTTAAAAAACTATAATACCAACAGCTGTTTCTAGTGTAATATCTCTGCTGCAAGGATGATTGATGCCCATTTAGCTGTAATACAATTCCTTCATACTAGTACTTTATAGTGACAACCAATAGCACCATTCTTGCAACAAATACACAGAAGACGTTCTGATCATCTTCATACAAAACCCCTTATGCCACTTACAGCAAAGATGAATATTAAATGTGTATTTTCTCAAGTGACATTTTTAATCTAATAGAACCCTATATAATTGTTTTAAAATCCCATTAATATCTTGTTTAAATTTGTGTTGTTCTTGAGTGTGCATTGTTTTAATGTTATCTGTATACTTATTCTAAGTATTATTAGTTAATTCTTGCATGCCTAAATCATTACAAGTCCAACAAAAATATTTCATAAAGCTTCTTACTATGATATTGTTTCCACAACTACAACAGCATGTTTAGGTTTCAATGGTTGTCCCACACCATAATAAAACATTAGGCTTGCATTTATACTGTCTGTCTGAGTGGAGAATTGACTTGACCTTCACAAAGAAGTACCCATCTGTGCAGGAGCACCATTCTAATATGCAATACAGAAACAACAGCCAACTCTCAGTTACCCATTAGTTTTCTAGCTTGCCAGTGTTTCATGCCATTCTTGCATTTTTAATATTTCATAATTTATATATGACTAAGTATATTAGTCAGGTTAATGGTAACATACCCACAGAATTAAAATTTAATGCAGATTGCTCCAATGGTGAAAACATTTTTAGTAAGAGGAAATGTTTTTAGGATAGCATCCAGAACATGGCTTCAAGGTCAACTCTCAGCTCAGACAGATACTAAGTGCACATTTCATATGAGACCATCATGTGTTGATTAGTTTACTATATATAGATTTATTTTCACACAAGTGCAAGAAATGGAAAAAGTTTCATGTCTAAAAAAAGCTCATTAGTAAAGTTGCCTCTGTGTGATATATCTGTAGCTTTAGTCAAACTCACTTTTCCCCATTTCTATTTTCCTTCTTGCATTCAAACACAGAGTTTACAGACAGATAAATGTGCGATCACAGTGGTCAAACATTGTTTCTGCCAGTCTTCAAAACCAACATTAAAAATACTGTTACATATTGCTTTTAAGAAAACATTAAAAGAAAGTAATTAAAAATCAGCTGGTGTAAATAATAATCAGTTCTCACATGATATGCATATTTCAATTTTTTGTTTCACAATGACATTCCATAACATGCCAATTTCTTTTCATTTTACTTGCATAAGCCAATTATGGGAAATTCCTTGAAATTTCATGAAACTATAAGTGAAGTGGCTGCAACAATGCAGAGCTAACCTCAAACTAAAAGAAGCTGCATTTTGCAATTAATCTTTTCACAATTAGTATGGATGAAATTATTAACGTAAAGAAAGAAACCAAATGCTGTACTAGATGATAACTTCTACAAGTTTATATAAAATCATGCATTGAAACAAAACTGTTTACACTTGAAAAGACACATATTGCCAATTGTAAACAGTTCTGTTTGAACGAATGATTTTATATATCAATACAATGCATGGTATGCAAGGTTTCAAGATTCTAGAAGTTTAGTAATATCTCTGAAAAAACAAAAACTATCCCATTCCTGAGATAAACTAAAGCATACAAACAATCTAGGATACAGAAAGTTTGGGAATAAAATTCAGCCCCTTTACTTAGAAGGAAAAAGCAGTGATTAGTTTTGAGCAAATGAAGATGGAATGTTACTTTTTGCTGCCCATTGTGTCAATGCCTAAAATTACAGAATACTGATTAATGCTTACAATTATTTTCTTGTACAGTAGTACTCAACTTCCAGAAGTGTATTTCCATTACATTAAAAGTATTTAATAGTATAAAAACTCACCATGTACACCCAAATTCCAAGTAACTAGGCATATCTTATGTGTAAAGAATTAGTAATACTTTTGTCTAATGTTTCCCCATTAATTAAAAATATACACAGCTATTAAAATAACATTTACATCAAACCTGCCGTTAGGAATTGCTTTTCAGTAAAATACAAACACAAAGATAAATATTTAATGAAGCTGCCACTCGGTCAACATAAACATAATTTTATGTGGTATGCTCTTAAAAATGCAAGTGTATAAAAACATAAAATTAGGAATCTATATCAGTATATTTTCTGTTACACCATGGGTGGCATGGTTGCAACTTATACAAAATGGTTGCCACACCCCTTTGTTACTTAATTCTACTAGGATAATTATTACCAAGGAAGATTAAATTTGGTACCCCCCATAGAACACATTTAACTGCATTCAATAATAGCTTTATGGCACGATGTATGTCATCACCAGCTGGACCCTCATTTCAAGAACTTTTTTTTTTGGGTGGGTGGGTAAATTACTCTTCACACTGTTTTTCAGAAGATACACATGTGAACTATATTTCATATAAAAAGGGGGATGTGACAGAAATATTATAAAGTTTAATATAAATTAGAATTTGTGAAAAAGGCAGTAAATAGCTACGCAGATTTTTATTAGAGGTTCATTATAACTTAATATAAAATAAAGCTATTGGCACAAGAAATAAGCATGAAACAAAAGCACCCAGCAAGTTAACTAATATCCTGCTAATATAGCTAGAGAGAATTATTAAAGATTCCACCTGTACAGTGAAACAAATTCTCAATTTTTACATTACCCCATTAAATGCATTGCACACATAATAACCTATGACGGTCATTCGCTACACAACTTGACTAACAAAGTAAAATTACAGTTAAAAAAATATATATTACAGGTCTTTCACCTAGTTTAAATGAACCAACCCTGAATGTTTCCCCTATTTTCACACACATCAATGACGAAAAACAACTACTACTAGTTACATGGCAAGAAAAACCAATAGTGAATTTGTTGGTTCAACATAACATATTTGGATATTGAAAAATAAAGTAACTGCCAGCTTATATTATGTTGATTTTATAACATAATCATACTCATAAGCACTGGGAATCAACAAAACTACAACAAGACATCAACTGAAAAGTTTGTGTTCAAATTATTCACCGAACTGAAACAATCCTGATATGAAGACTAATACCTTCAAAATTACAATTTTATATGTTCATACTAGATAAGGTATGGCTGCATAATTGTGGTGCTTAGTGATTGGTCAGAAACAAATGTAAATACATTATTACTGATGACTTGCCAAAACTCTACGAATGTGGCCGGAAGCTATATATATATTTTTTACTTCTGTAATGAAGGATACTGTTTTTATGTTTTGTATGGGACTGAATCCAATTTTGCCTTAGGTACATCTATGCAATTATTAGAAACATACCTGGTAATAAAGTAGAGTTTTTCTGGATGCTTTGTCCAGAAATGGGGCAGACCAGCTATGTCAGTAGGCAGTAGACATATTGCACCTAGACATAACAAAAACTTGAACTTTATTAGACGCTTCATCCAGACATGAGACAAAACCAGATGCAGGTAGGCAGTACATATATTCCATCTAGACATACCAATATATTAAATGCAGGGACAACAAAGCTACACCAGTAGACAGAATACATATTGTATGTATGATCTGAGGTTTTCACAGCGGTGAGTCTGAAGACTTCAGTCTTCTGAGTTATTGAGCCATGTAATCTGCTAGATTTCCACAAACATTTCAGAGGTCATACTGCCTCCGTCATCAGGGCTATGAATGTGCCAATCGTGCGGAAAGTGCCGTACTTTCCACCCTGGGGCACAGGGCTAGAGCCCTTTGCAGCCAGGAAAGCCTGCAGGGTGAACTAGAGCTTCTCAGGATCACTTTCAGGCAAAACAGCTACAACGACCGACAGATCCAGCGAGCCCTCTACCCACCAGCAAGGGTGTAACCACCATCGGAGAGATAAGCGTAGGTTGCCTTCCTGCCCTACGTTGGAACGACCTTCAACCACATCAGCAGGCTGCTGGCCAGGCACATCATCAAGTCTGTAGGCCTTCTGCCAAAGAAGATTCCTAGCTTTCTTCAGCTGGTGCAGGGCAATCTGGGACTCAAGATGCCTGGTGTATACAGCGTGCCTTGTGAGTGTGGCAAAATGTACATCAGACAGACCAGCCGTCCCATCGAGACCAGGATCAACGAACACGAGCACCACATCAAGCTGGAACAGCCTGAGAAATCTGCCGTGGCTGAACACTGCTTCAACCTGGGCCACCGCATCCAGGTCCAGGATACCCCTATCCTTTCAACAAAATCCGGATACATGGATCGGATCCAGGGAGGTCATTGAGATTAAATTGCATCCTGACAACTTTAACAGGGAGAATGGACTTCGCCTGAGCCAGTCATGGAAGCCCCTCATTCACTCTCTCCAAGAGCTCCGGAAGCATCCCAAAGAGCGCTGCCCGTCTCAACTGGACCACTAATACTCGGCCTTTTCAAGGCCCCAGGTCTTTGCTCGCTTCCACTCTCCACCCAACTCCCGATGTCTGGTATCTCACTGGACAGACTCCCTCTGAGGCCCTCAACAGGGCTGGTTCTTGGATATCTCTCACACACACCACAGACCCGCCCACGCACTCCTATTGGTCCCCACCCACACCTGATTTTACACCGGCTCTCATTGGCTAGGATCAGGCTACTCTGGTTACTGTCCAGTCCCTATAACCTGGCCCTTTCCACACTATTGGCACATTCTGACTGAAAGATTTGACTCAAAGTTAGCTTGTGTGGGGAACCCCTTAGTCCGGCAACTCGGGAGGCACTTGTGCCCAACAAGGGCTGACAGAGGTCATCCAAGGGCAACCGAGGGGGACTGATGTTCAGCAGACCAGCCGAGGTTGTCCCTGAAAAGATGGCCAAGTCGGCGCAACGAATGGTCTGACCACTCGGCTACCCCCAACCTCTCTCGGTTCAAACCCCAGAGAATCAACCAACCAAATTCTTTTGGTCAAGTTGCCTGATGGGATAACCTACCATCAGCAGCAACAGACCCTAGTCGGAATGGTCGAGGCTCCCGCCATGACAGAACCCTGTTAGCGTAAGCAAATTCCCGTTTTAGTTATAAGGCTCTGTTTACCATTTACAGCAATTCGTGTCATACGCAGGAATGGTGTTACCTAGCAAGGGACAATGTCTTGCGCTTGGTTAGCTTTTTGGTTGGTTGGTTGATTGGCACATTCATCACCCTGATGACAGTGGCAGTATGACCCCTGAAGTGTTGGTGGAAATCTACCAGACTACATGGTGCAATAACCCAGATGACTGCAATATTTAGAATACAAATTGCACATATGCATAAGAAACAAAATGTGATGTAACATAATTGCTAGCCAATTGCATATTGACTAGCAGCACTTTTACTTTCTGGATAAATATGCTAGATAATGCAGGTAACTGAAAAGCAAAAATTCAGAAGTTGAATAAGAGTGGCATATTAAATAACTTCATGAAGCACAGTCTTTGAAAAGCTAACAGTATAACTAACTAATCAATAAATTCTCTTATTTAAAGGAACACAAAGGTTCATAAACATATTCACATGAGCCTATCACTGGTAACTATCTGGAACCAGATGAATCAAACCCAATTTCCCCAAGATCAATTACATTCCCTGCCCACCTTAACTCCCTCTCCCATGATTTTATCATATTATTAATATCTGGCAAATAGTACAAAATATGGAGCTCCTAATTATGCAGTTTTCTTAAGTCTCTTGTCACTTGCCTCTTAGGTCCAAACATTCTAAGCATCCTGTTCTCAAATACTCTGAATTTGTGCTCTTCCCTTAAGGTGACAGACCAGGTTTCCAAACAGAATGAGTTTGTATAATGAATTACCTCTTGCTTGGATCACTTCTGTCAGAATCAGATCAATACCTGGATTTATGTTTTCAACTTTTTAATAGCAATCTCAAACTCAAAAGAGCTAGGCTCAGCTGCATGTATTTCAATCTGCTATGATGAGTAACACTGCAGCTCTTGGCTAGTACACACTGACACTGGTTGCTTCTATGAACGGCATATTCATATTACATAGCAATTCCACACACCCCATAATATTCTTGATTGCATTAGTGTACAACTTCTGTTCCTTTGATATCAAAAATAAAAATACATTTGTCTCCATTTTTACTTCACCATACACAATTTTTGCGCATACAACAAAAATGAGATATGTCCAGGACTGCATAAATATAAAGTAATTTAATTACAGATAGGACTCTGTTTACGCCAGGGTTAGGTTCCTGAGACTTCTGGCATAAACTGAAGCAAAAATATAATGGGAACATATGTAAATACATTAGGTTCCGTTGAAAGATTTCCAGTAATCAACACAAAATACTTGAAAAATGTTTTATTTTATGAAATTTATGTATTGAAAATTGTATAATATTTAAGGTAATGTTTAAGAAAAAGAAATAAAATTTACTGCTGTCATTGTCAATGATTTACGTTGTTTTTAGTCTCTTGTCCAGACGCACTTGATAACACACGTTTTGGGGCATGGTAGTAGATATTTGAAAATATTAATAAAAAGAAGACTGCAAGATGGACCACAAACACATAAACACCTAGAAAAACTGAGAGCAACTAGGAGGGAAAAAGAAGGCGCTTGTTAAAGGGACTGGAGAGTAGGAGTGGCTGTCAAGGGTGGGAGTAGGACCAATCAGACTGAATCTTTTGGCGTCCTGTTCTCTAGACACCAGTGCATGTTTGTCAGTTCACTTGCAGTTCTTTGTCCGTGGTTAATGTAATTTGCTTTTTCTCGTCGCATTTTATATCCTGTTTTTTGTTTAATTATTTAGATTTTAGGCCATAGTTTATCAGTTAGTATCATAGTTTTATTACAATGTCGGGACCATCTGTGTCTAGGAAGTTGGGCAGAGTCATGACTCATCTCTCCCTCCAATCATGATCTATGAGGCACAAAAGTGAAGCAGGAGTAAATTGAAGTGTCGTAAACCGAGTCCTACCTGTACTACACACACAAAAAGCCTTCAAGTATATTTACATTACTGATAAAGGTGTGCTTTGCTTAATTATTTATTAATGTAATTTTACCCTCAGGTAAGAAAATATTGTAACAAAATATTTGTAAATGTTCTCAAAAGTTTTGTTTTAACCACTTAACTAACTTACAGCATACATGTTATGTATTTGTTTCATAATTCATAATTTCAATATTAATAAATCATATGCCACACACAGTTAAATAACAAATTTATGTGCCACCTGAAGTTGGTCTAGGTTAGATCGAAACATGTAGTGGTGTTGTGAAAAAAAATAAGACATTAAAACAAAAGCTGTATAGATAAATATTATTTATATCATTACTCTTATTACATAGCAGGATGCCTTCAATAAAGATCAATAAACTGTAGCACTCACCCTGAATTCTGCCCCTCTAGATGGCAAGTGTTGAGTTATCCCACTCAAGGTCCTTAACCTTTCCTCCTTCTGCACCTTCTTCTTCCTCCTCATCTGATGAGTCCAAATCATCATCATGATAACTTGAACCATCATCTGATGAGTCATCATCATCATCATCACCACCACCTGCAGCATCACCATTGCCTGCTTGATTACCACCATCTCCTGCTTGACCTCCAGTCTGACTGGCAGACCCATCCAGTTGCTATAAGAACAAGTACTTATATAAGATGTGCAGGAAATATGTATGCACCTGCAGATAAAATAATTATTATGTTCAAGATGAAGTTAAGTGCATTCAACAAATGTTCATTCAACTTGGGAACTGTTGCTGTCTTCTCTCAAAATTACCTATGATTAAGATATGTAAATTAACTTCAGTGACATTCTGTTTAAACTTTATACATTTAATGTTATTTAGTGTAATAACTGGGGTCCGCAGTGGCCGCACGGTCTGAGGCGTGGGCCTTGTGCTGCTTGGTCGCTGGGACCGTGGGTTCGAATCCCACTCAAGCCATGGATGTCTGTCCGCGTTTTTCTGTGTTGTGTACACCTAGAGGCTTTGCGACGGGCCAATCCCTTGCCCAAGGAGTCCTACCAAAATGTCTATAGATCAAGCCAACGAAAAGTTGGGACCCGCAGTGCAGAACGGGTCGTTCCCAGTATCCCAGCAGTGTAATAACTATGCAGTTACACATTCGTTCAGGCTGGTGGCTGAACATGAAATTATTATGTCATAACACTGCACATACTGGCAACACTCCCCAACTGATACTCCACCTTTCAAAACATTCTGGAAAAGTTTGCTTGTTTCACTGTTCTTTGTTCAGTTGTGCATCATATTGTTTCTGGTGAAGAGTGTTTAAGCCTATTATGACCACAAAATAAGTTCTCAGACTTAAATACAAAGCTTGAAGTAAATATTAAATATACATATCTGTAATGTTAGCAGCTCATCAAAGAGAGAATAGGAAGGCAGTATGGAATTTGACATTGTTCACTATTTTGAATAGCAAAGACCACCTATTCTATGTATTGGAAGATCAGTGGCATTTAGGAATGATTATAATGCAGCATATACAGTGAAACCTCTATCCATCGTTCCCGGAACTATCGTTTTCCCGGATGCATCGTCCGTTTTGTTCGGTCCCGGATACATCCCATATAAAATAATGTTACATTTTCCCGCTTCTATCGTTCCTCGAACTATCGTTTTATCGCATCGATCGTTCAAAAATCTTAGTCCCGGCCCACAATGTTCCCGCAATGATCGTTTCTGAGAAATTAAAATGCTGGGTTTTGAGATAAATTAATACCGAAAGACGCACAATGTTTTTGGAATACACAGTAGCGGTAACCTGTTATGTCGCCCAACCAGCACAGATCCTTTTGGAATGAGGGGTCAGCGGTGCAGGGGTGATAGTTGGAGTGAATGGCGGTGCTCATTGTCAGAAATTTTACGATTTTAATTAGGGTGCACTCATATTTCGTTCCAGCGATGCCAGATGGCATGTGCAGTGTGAATTTCTTCACAAATGCTTTTATTATAAGTACAAAGGAAAGGCGGGCTGCACGTTTCATTCTTCTGGTTCATCTTGTGTCTTCTACAGCTATATTTCGTTGAGTTCGGCCGTAATAGTATTTCCATTCTTCCTGTTATTGTCCGCGAAGGGGGGTGGGAGTGGTGAGGAAGAGGAAGACGACGAATGCGAGCCCGAAGCTGTGCCGAGTTTTGCCGAAGCATTGGCAAAAGTGAAGTCGTTCTTTTATGCGCATAATATTAGTGAACGTGACGAGGAAAACATTTTGAACGTGGAAAGGGCTCTGTTTGGCCTAAAACGTAAAGTTTCGAAAAACCAGTTGTCCATTAAAGACTTTTTTGGTAAATTTTTTAATGCTTTCCTGCAACTATCGTTTTCCCGTATTCATCGTTTTTATTTCCCACCCCCGCCGAAAACGATGCATCGAGGTTTCACTGTATATGTAACAGTTAGTTAAACTTAGACTTCTTTGTGCATAATGTATGTCAAGTGCAGTTTCATACAATTTGATGCACTTACTCTCACATGTATGCACAGTGAACTGTGAGTAAGATGGAGGTGGGGCTTGCATGCACACAGACTTCTGCTTCCAATGTATAACTAATAAGTAGTCAGTTTTTGCACAAGCGGTTATGAGAAAATCAACTTCTTGGATCAAGTATTACTAAAAATACATTGAGAATTTTGAATAATTATTAGTTACTTTGGCATCTCCATAATAATCATAAATGAATACTAAATATTGCCTACCAAACACTGTTGTTAAATGAAGTGCCTTCTTGTGATACACTTAACAGTTGGCAGTATCCGTTAGAATGAGCAATCTTAAGAATTTTATAAATTCACATTATATAATGGTTACACTGTTCCTATCATCTTCAATATCTGGAATTGTTGACAGGCACTCCATTAATATGTGTTCAGTTACGAGGTGCGATCGGAAAGTTTCAAGACTGCGCCTATAAAAACCTGTACACTTATCTCAGGTATTAAATTCATCCATCACCCTCGAAGTAGTTCCCCTGGGAGTGAACACAACGATCCCAGCGCCGCTGCCATCCCTGGAAATCTTTCTTTGTCAGCCTGTCAAGCACCATCTGCGATTCTGCCTGAATCTCTTCTATCGTCTCAAATCTCCTTCCCTTTAGCTGAATTTTCATCTTTGGGAAGAGGAAGAAGTCACACGGAGCTAAATCCGGCGAATAAGGAGGGTGCGGGATGACGGCCATGGTGTTTGAGGTCAAAAACTGCCGAACTTTAAGGGCGGTGTGCGCTGGCGCGGTCATGATGCGTCACATGTGGAGTTCTTCCTTTAGAATCAGCTGACAGGTCCCATAGCCTATCCCAACAATGTCGCACAAGTCGTTGATGGTACGACGTCGATCTTCGTTAATGGCCTGCCGAATCTTGGTAACATTTTCGGGCATTGTGCTCGAAGATGGTCGTCCAGAACGCTCGTCATCATCGACAGAGGTTCGGCCATTTTTAAAACGTGAATGCCACACAAAAGTTTGTGCACGACCCCATTGCGGACTCCCCAAATGCTTGCTTTAGCATTTCATAGGTTTCCGTAGCCGTTTTGGCGAGTCTTTGGCTAATTCGATGATGCCGGCTGGCACACTGATTCACTATGAATGTAGGCCGCACCCCCTAGCGGCAGAAGCTCGTACTACATCCGGTTCGCCCTCTATTGACACAGTCTGGAAACTTTCCGATCGCACCTTGTATTTCCACACAAAACTTCTTTTATGGTCAGAGAACAGATGTCACCTGCAGCCATATCTGATAAGCAAGAAATCTGTGTCAACTGTGGAAGACTGCACATTGCTGCATAAGCTGAGATCAGTAGGACACACACTCTCATGGTAAATTTGCCACTACTCACCAAATTTTCATTATTGTGGCCACTTACAATATACAATGAACCATGGAGATGCTTCAACACTCGTAAATAGAAATAGTGGTCAATAGTCTGCCTTGTGGAGTGTACATATGATACAGAACTCTTATAATTCGAGAAAACCATTAGAATCACATCAATTCTTTTCTGCTGTGTTCCCGGCATGCATTTTTGGTCACAAAAAGAAAGGGAATTTCCACTGTGATTGCTGGTTAATTTTGGAGTCACCTGTTACATTTTTTTAACTAGTTTTCATTAGTTTCTCTATATTCAAAGCAAGTCAGAAGCCACAGATAAACATTTTTTGTTCTGCTCCTGTGACAGGCCTCATTCCAAAATCTTTGCCCAAAATTGCCATTAACATGAGCCATGAGAAATATTTATACTTCAGCCTTTTCATGAACGATCATTCTTCTAACATTTTGGATTAAACAACACTTAAGCTTCCAATTCATCGTGTATATTGATTGAGGGACATCCAAGGCATTTGTCACTTTAGACAGATATTTGTCTCTCTTTCAGACAACTCAAAAACTCACATTCCTCTTATTGAATTTCCAAATGTCATTTGCAACAACTGGTAACATTCAGGCACTATCTTCCTGATGGAATTCAAAATTACAATTCACTTGCTCATCATTAAATTGATATATGACTAAACAGCAAAGACTTTTAAATGTTGACCATAAGTAAGTAAAGCACTAAATAATTTGTAAACATGGCAACACACTTTATAGATATGTCCTAAGAAAAATATGAGAAGAGAAGTAGGAAACAGAGACAGAATCTAAACAATCTGAATCAGTTGCCAATGTGTCTTCCGGTTTGTAACACAGTGTGCGCTTGTAGGTATATACCTGCAACTACACACAGCATTACAACCCATAAGACCAACACTGATATCTCCAATAAGGAGAGAACTTAAAATCTCATCTGAATCAGCTACACACTACCTCCATTGGATTCACTGTGATAGTAAGAGCAGAGTCATCCCAGGCCATTTCTGTATCAGCAATCTCTTCCTGTGCAGCACGATGATGCGCTGCTCGGATACGAATCACTCCCAGGACAATCATGAACAGCAAGAACCCAACACACACCACAATGATGATTGTTACAGCATGACCTGAGAACAAAATATAATTATGCCACACACACACCCACATTAGTTGGATTCAATAAATACAATGTAAAGATACTATCCACCTCACTCACCCATAGTCCTACAATATGCTTCATATAAAGATTTTTATACAAGACATTCAAAATCAAAACCTTGAACTTATGATCAAGAAATAAAAGTATTGTCTGTATTTCTTTGAGGGAAGAACATAAAATACAAATTTTTGAAAACAAAAAGCAAGTGTTTATGAAAATCTTTGAACCACAGAATGAAGTATAATACATATAAACAAAACTGTTTACAAAGTGTAAACAGTTTTGTTTGTATGCAAGGTTTTAAGATTACAGAATGAAGTGGCCAATATAAGATATTTCATAATGAACTTCATTGTTTACACAGGATACACAGAATTGTTACAAGAGTAAACTCTAGGACTGCATGATGGGCTGAATATACAGCTAAGATGGGTGAAAGACAAAGATTGCACAAGGAATTTTGATAGAAAACTTGTTCCAAAATACCCACAGAGAAGACAGAAGGAACTGACAAAACAAAATTATTATGGATATTTGGAAAACAGGTTGTTATGATGGTAAGTAGCACAGAATCGTACTCAATTACATGCTCTGGTCTCAATGTTCAAATTCTGCTACCATACTAAAGTTTCCAGTAGGTTTTCAGTCTGAAATGCAAGTGTCACTTACTTCCACCAGCAACAACAGCTTGTGTGGAATCCATATTTGCTGCCATATACACATCACTGATGGTCTGAGCTGGTCTCAGTTCGGCATGATGTCTGTCCACATGTATATGAGCTGGCTGTGCCTGCACCTGTGCTGATTCTGAAGCTGCCACTCCATTGCCATGATGACCTGATTCAGCTACTTTCTTGTCACTGTGTTGGCTCAATGAGGTTGGAGGACTGGATGGCTTTATGTTCAAGCCTTTACTGGCTGGTAATCTTGGGTGGACCATTGTTAGCTATCAAAAGAGGCAGGCAAAACTTAATTAATGATCAAAAAATACAGTGACATAAATAAACTTCAGACTTTTATCAACAATTTCCACACACGACATTCCTCTGTTAAACATGTATCAGAACAGAATTAAAATTAAAACCAAGTCAATATTTCACATTTAAAATGAGGCACATTTCTAAAAAAATTCATTACAATTTTCAAGCAACTCTCCTTGAACTCAGGACACCAACCTCTACAACTGAAAGAACCTTGTGATATGTTTGACCCAACAATATTGTGATATGAAAATTAAATTACACAAAATAGTATGCATTCAATTCTTCTGCATATATTCATTCATACTGACATTTTAATTGCATATTGCATTAATATTACTTTATAAAGTAACAAGTTCGCAAAACTTAAGAACACAAGCATTCCACTCACATAATCAAAGTTAAACTGAAATACATACTGTCTGTACATATTCATTGCTCATGAATCTTCCATTTAATTCTGAACAGATAAGCTTGAACACACGGTTCAGATAATAAGCTGGTTTCTTATTGGTGTACTGAACCTGACGCAACACCTGTCAAACAGAAAAGTGAATGATAAATTATATCACATACATGCATTCTGCCAAGACATGTTCATCACACTGCAAGCAGATGGCTGAACTTGTAACCCCCTCAACAATCCAAGTGAATCTCAACATGTCAGTAGAAACACAGAACTATTAATATTGTATCCCGTCATCAGGGCGATGAATATGCCAATAGGGTGTGAGGTGCTAGGTTTATAGGCTGGAAAGTGAAAGGCGTAGACGGAGGCAGTATGACCTCTGAAACGTTGGTTAACATCGACCAGACTACACAGTGCAACAACCCAGAAGACGGAAATCTTCATACTCACCGCTGTGAGAACCTCAAGTCTTACATTTGTATTGTTGTTAGTGCTTGGCTGTTATTGGCCTTTTCGGCTGTTGTCAAGCACTTTAATAAATTAATTGAATTGAAAAACATTCCCACCCACTGACAACAAGCAAATCCCAAACATATGCATAAAGAAACAATAATCTTAATACTGTGCTGAAGTATTTCCTAAACAGTATTTAATCCTGTGCAGTATTATCTATGTATATGAGTGTAAGATGGTAGTTGTTTTTTTCAGATGCCTAAGCATGGAAAAAGAAAATATGTATTCAGGTAATTATACATAAATAATCATTTTACTCTACACCAGAAAAGTTAATAGTAGTCAAAGTTATGCATACAGGAAGCAAACATATTTACCTCTGAAAACACTGTACTGTTTACTTCACATTTACCTGTTCATAATTGTAGATCATGTCAGCTCCAGAAACAACAACGCCATCCTTATTAACTTTAGCAACAATTCCAAACTGAGTCAACATGTTTTCAGGCAGAGTTACTGTCTCATGATCAGGATTGAGTGGAGGATACACAGAAACAGTACAAGAATCTAGCTGTTTCTCAATCACACTCACTGGCTCTCCTGTAATATATGGAAAGAACATGAAGTTATAACTAAGTTTAGTACAGCATAATTTTAAAGCAGCACTGGGTATAATCTATATTAAAAAATAGAAAAGTGATTAATACCATGTTTCCATTGTTTCTGGCCTTTGACTTGACCAACAGTTATGTGTACATCAGTAAAAACTCGAACTCCAAGTCTGAAATCTTCATATTCACGTGCCACATTGCCTGTTCCATTGATATCGATGCTAGGCTGCTGTGGCTGAAGCACCATGACATAACTCTCTACACTAGGCACCTTCACAGGTCGACCACGTTCACAGCTGGAAACAAAATGCATGTAACTAAGAAAAAATATATACCAAAATTAATTTTGTACATGTGCTGACATTTCATTTCTCATCTGTCTGGTTTGCAGACAAATAACTTCTATATGAAACAATTTTATAATCCGCAAAGATCAACATTTTTGAAGGAAAAGAGCTGGTCAGAAACAACTCAAATTTCACAATCTTAAGGTCATGTTTTTGTTACTGCCATATGGTATTTTGCCGTGTTCTTAACAAGACATATTCCAAACATATGACTTAAAAATCTTGGGCTTTTAGGAATGTGACTAACTAATACCAATAGAAACTTACGTGACAGATGTTGACAGATGAAGATTGCGCCTACCAGGTGTAGGAAACTGACGTGTATTTGTATAGCCAATCTTCCTTACAAGAATCACCAGATTTGTTTTGTTGTCACCCTCAATGCTGAGTTCAGTTAAGTCTGCACAAACATCATAAGCAAATAAGCTATTTCTTCCATATGTATCATTAGCAAATAACTGGAACTGTGGTTTATGTTGTTGGATTATGCCTAAGAATGTTTTGAGCTGGACCACAACAAATTAGGGGAGGCTAATTTTCTCAACATTAGGACCATTTTATTAACCCTTCAACGTGGTTGGACATCATGTGACGCCCTGGCATTTAAATTCCCGGTCTGCTGTTAAGCCTAATTTCAAAAGCCCATAATTATGGAAACAATAACGACTGATATATGATGTTTGTAGTTGATCTGGTGTGGAAGAAATGCTCTTTCTGATCATGTATTGGCAACGTCGCATTCTTCGATCTCTAAAGGCTAGTCTGTGAATAAATGCGTGACCTAAGAGGTTACACAATCTTCCAAAGAACACTGAGCTGTTTGTTTGTAGAGGTAAGATAACTCATTCTCTCAGTCTCATATGACACGATAACTGCTCCAGCGAAGTAGAGAGGAAAAAAAATTATCTGAAACGGTCAAGGGGCTCCATAATATATATATATAGATATACCGTTATGTTTATCTGTGTCTTCAAATATCAACAATTTTAGCACCCCTATACTCAGAAGTCTATAATCAGAAGAGTTCTTAGAAAGAGACGGTTATAACTGCTAAGTATGATGCATATATGTGGCCTTCAGTTCGCTGTCAGAATATCAGCTGGCGCAGACATATTTACTCCCGCGTATTATTGACACAGGAAAGAAATTCAATGCCTCAAAGACATTGCGTCATGTGCAGGAACCGCTAGAAAAAGATAAAAACTATGTATTTTGGTAGTGTTGACTTTTGCTAACGTTTCAATAAATAACATACAACTCTCAACGTCTAATCGACTACTAGCATTTGTCACACACAGGATGTTCATATTATACGCTGAAATTATAAAACCATCTTTTAAGAGGATTTCAGTGAAGAATTGATCATTATATGTTATATAGTTCAAACGTTATGATAAATAAAGTGTTTTAGAGCAAAATTTAAATGGCCACCACTCCTCGTCAAGCAGCGCAGAATTTAAATTCCCACGTTGAAGGGTTAAAATGATGCATTCTGAAGGCCTAATATTTAAATGTCCTGTGTTACTCCAGTAAGGACTTAATTCTAATGTCCTTTATTAGAAAAGGGTTAAATGTGTCAGTGAACACAATAAAAATTAACGTAAACCTACTTTTAACAGGTGGGAACAAATGTTTTGTAAAAGGTAGAGTGTTGACTGTTATCCACATCCACAAATCACATAGTACTACACATGCAACCTTGTAAGCTAACAGGAAGTGGGCTAATTTCTCATCCCAGACAGTATGATTCACAGCCACTTACCACTGTTTGTAAGGAGCTCCATGCCAGGTTCAAGTAATTCCATGGCTGGAACTTCCAGGCTTTCCTTACATTTATGTAAACAGCTCAGCACCTCAGGCTTCTCAGTCTTGTGAAGGAGGACAGACAGACCAGCCAGATAACCATGGAAATGATGTTTCATCTTGTTGTCAGATCCTACACAACAGCAGCATGATTAACATTATACACAGTTGTACCATGGATTATAACACCACACATTTAAAATGCCATTTGCAGGTTAATGCAGTCCCATTAAAAGGAGAAGAATGCATATTAAATAAAGTACAAGTACAATGATAAACATCCCTACCTTGCCAGCAAGCTCCAACGGTAACTGTAGTGTTAATACCCTTTGTAGGATGCAGAGGCCAGTCATCAATGATTTCAGGGTTTTTCTTCTCAGTCTTAAACAGTTGACCATCAACATACAGTGAGACCTCAGGGAATTTCACAGAGACTGCATAGTGATGCCATTCATTGTCACAAACCTACAACATTTGTAGTTTGAGGTGAGCATACATAATAATTATCAAGATTTTCATGATAATACTGATTCTGAGTCCTCTGGATTGCAGCATTGTCTAGTTAAGAAAGAAACTGTAAAAACTTTATAGGAGTTTACTTCTACAATCCAAAATGCATATCACTGATACCAAAATGATGGGGAGAAAAAAACAGCAATGATTATAATACAAAATGAAAATATATATTTAGGCAGGATTTTACACAATGGAGTTGTTGTGTAACATGACACAAAGACATCAACAAAAAATAGAAATAATGTACTACAAACAGGCTTATAACACTATTACTTTAATTTCTAGTACATGTAATTCTCAACCATCCTTATATTATTTATGACCAAATCAAGTAAAAGCAGAGTTTCCAAGAAACTGGTATATTTTTAGATACTACACACACTGTATAAAATGAAGAGCATCCTATGGGGTTATGTTTATCTATAATTCCATCAATCAGTTAACTGATGCATTTGGTAAAATGCAGTATGTAAGTTCACATAAAGCTGTCTAAAACATGCTAAAACAGTATCGATGACATTATACCACCATTGTAAACCACAGTCACAGTGGAAAATAAGTTTTATTTTGTAACAATATAAATATGTTTATTACCTGAGGCAGCTTCCACCGCCATTCTGCCGGACGGAAGATGTTCAGGTCACCTTCTGAGAAGTCACGTCGCAACAGAAGAATCAGCCTACAATTGCGTACAAACAGTGCATAGTGGTGTCGGTTCATCTCTGTAAAATCATGATAAGATTCTGTTGATTTCAAAAGGTATTAATAACATGTTATGAGTGACTGAAAAATCACCTAGCCAAAAATGAGATCTTGAACAATGCAAATGCCTCCAATTCCAGACATGTTCAATTTGTCAGAATTCAGTATTATGTATTATTAAGACGATTTTGTAAGCTGCATTATGCAACGTGTGTAAGTCTATATATTATTATACTGTTCACATCTGGCCTCTGACACCTGGCAAAAAAGGTAGAACTATATCCATACTGTTTCTGTAGCCCTTCTGGAGTTTTTTAAGTGGATGCTAATAGTAGATATTATACCCTTCAAATTTAAGGTGCAGGCATTACACATCCACTCACTGTCACTCACACACAAATCAACACTAGGACTGAGAATACTGTATTCAGACTGCAGATGATACACATGAATGGATAATATATGTTTAAACATAAAACTCATGTGCAGTCAGCTTCCAACCCACAATTAAAATATGTTTCACTGCCCTTAAATAAGCATTCAAAGAGGCAAAATTATATATCTGGATCATTCTTAAACTTACCTATATACAGTGAAACCTCGATGCATCGTTTTCGGCGGGGGTGGGAAATAAAAACGATGAATGCGAGAAAGCATTAAATTTTTTTCGGGGGTGGTTTCTCTTTCAAAGTTACTTCTTTTTACCAAAAAAGTCTTTAATGGACAACTGGTTTGTCAAAACTTTACGTTTTAGGCCAAACAGAGCCCTTTCCACGTTCAAAATGTTTTCCTCGTCACGTTCACTAATATTATGCGCATAAAAGAACGACTTCACTTTTGCCAATGCAGCGTGTGCTTCAGCAAAACTCGGCACAGCTTCGGGCTCGCATTCGTCGTCTTCCTCTTTCTCACCACTCCCCCCCCTTCGGCCGACAATAACAGGAAGAATGGAAACACGAGGTGCGATCAGAAAGTTTCCAGACTGCGCCTATAAAAACCCGTACTCTTATCTCAGGTATTAAATTCATCCATCCCCCTCGAAGTAGTTCCCCTGGGAGTGAACACAACGATCCCAGCGCCGCTGCCAAGCCTGGAAGCATCCCTGGAAATCGTTCTTTGTCAGCCTGTCAAGCACCATCTGCGATTCTGCCTGAATCTCTTCTATCGTCTCAAATCTCCTTCCCTTTAGCTGAATTTTCATCTTTGGGAAGAGGAA